ATATGGTATTTATTGTATAAAAGTTTGGTATCCCCTATTTAACTTCACAAAGGCTGGAAATATCTTAAAATAAAGAACAATTTAACAGAAAATTCATCCTCAAAATCTGCTTAATTTTGTATCATTCTACTTATACATTTAGACTGCCAAGCTTAAGAATTTTTACAACCGTTATATATTCAGATCCATAGATGATGAACACATACTCCCTTTAGCCAAATTGATGTGGTTTTCTAAAAGTTCTTTAATTCCAATAAATACTTTTATGGAATATTGAACCATTTCTTATGACACTAGTGAAAATAATGGACTTTTCTTGTAGATATAAGTAAAGCTTTTTAGCTGAGCCATAATTCCATAAATTTCTCAAAGAAGAAGGATATTTAAGATGTCTCTTGTGGCACACAGAATATGTTGGTGTACTTAACAGGAAAGTTTCACAAAAAAACCCCAAACAGCTGAGTCACTGAACCACCAACAACTACAGCAATAAAAACAGCAAAGAAAAAACTAAACCAAGAACCAAAGAACCACAACTTAACATGCAAACACCGCACCATCATGCCATCCAAGAGAAAGAATCCCATGAGGCCATTGCGACCACTAAAACCAGGGAAAACTAGCTCGTTAAGTGCAGAAGGAGACACTCGCTCACTCACACATTCAGTCACACAACAATGGGAAAAGTTCGAAGCAAAGAAGCAGAGAGAGACACACACACGGAAAACCACTTGTCTCTCGCCCCGGAAAACCTCACCCCAAAATCAAGTTTTGGTTCCTTTCCCGTGTGTGTGTGTTGCCATGCGAACGTGAATTTTATACAATAAATTATGTAAGGCACACAAAAGTGCGAGTGAAAAGTAATTTAAGCTAAAGGAAAAGTAAGAAAAATTCCCACTTGCTAATGTCCACACTTAATTACAGGGAGAGCAAGACAGAGAGAAAGATTATATTTTCCCAAATTAGATTTCTAATTGAACAGACCACACAAAAGCGCCACAAAGCCAAAGGCTTAGCTCCCTCCCTCTCTCTCTCTCTGGGCGGATTAACACAGAAATAGAAACTGCACACAAAAAAAATGCTAAATTAGCATAAATATTATAGAGAAATGTCAGGCTAAAAATAAAAACATAAATTAAAATAGCACACACACAAAAGAGTTCTCAGGGCATCTGCAAAGCCAAAGCCATTTCATTCTCCTCCTTCCTGCCTGCTTTTTTTGCCCTCCTCTGTGACGTAAGTAAAGAAGAAAATCTGATTTCTGAAGATTTTTCTTTTGGCGCACTTATAGTGGCTCTCAAACTGTGAGTGCCAGCAGCAGCAGTACTACATAACAGCAAGCTTTTGAAAGGCAGTGAGACGCAGGGCGCAGACGCAGAGAAAGCAAACAAGATAAAGGAAGGTTTTTGGTTAGCTTTTAGGGAGAATTTCGGGGGGTTTCAAGAGGCAAGTTGAAGGAATATATTTACCCGTAAATTGACTGCACCAATCCATTGGAACATTTTAAAGGAATATTCCGTGAAGTTTATGACATGAAAAGGAAAGTAAATCAGTGGAAAAAGAATCAAGCAATAAATCTACTGTTTAAAAATACTGCACATGCCTTTTCCTTACAATAAAGTTCTAGCTTAATTTAGTTTAACGCATTTTCCAGTTAGCTCTCTCCCTCTCGTGCCCTACTATACTTACTTCCCAGTTCATTTCTCCATTCATGTAATTAGAAATAAATTCACATGTGTGCCGGCAAGCAAGGAATTATTTAAAAACCATTATTCAAACAGTTTTTCTCACGCCTTGCAATCTATGTAGAAAACGGTGCGAACATTTCCTCTACGATATTTTCCCACGTCTCGGAATCCAAGCGACACTCTACGGTCTTCGGAGCAATCCGCATGATTAATGGCCTGATAAATTATCGCGATGCCAATGTCAGATATATTTGCGCCTTAGCACTGCGCTGCGCTGCTCTGTTCTGTTCTGCTCTGCTCTGCTCACACCATAATTTATTTTGTGTGGATAACAATTTTACCAGTGTCACACATGGCGTATGAGCAACGAATATCTAACAAACGGCTGGCAGTATGTACAAATGTCAAGGGTCAAACGAAACAGAGGCCTAAAAATATGCAAAAAAGGAAAGACAGAGAGAGAGAGAGACACAGAGAGAAAAGCCGCACAAAGAGAGAGGTAGAGAGCGAGCAAAATATACAATTGGGAAATGGGAAAATGGTAGGGAGTGGGGCAATAAGTAACCTATGCTTCGAAAGTGACCTTTCAATCACTCTTAATTACAAAAAAACTCGGGGAAAATGGCAAAATGACAGGCCAACAAACGGACAAAGGCGAAGAAGAATAAAAATAGAGTGGAGGATAAATGGAAATTACTATGGTGGAGGAGGCACAAGAAAATGTCAAGAGTCGTGCGTGTTGGTAGCAACAACAACAACAAGAAAATTGAACTTTGGAATTGGAATTAGAGGCAGGTAATGGCAGCGGGCAAGGACAGGCAAAGTGCCTTTCTGCAGCTGTCTTTTATCATGGCCCATATAGTACACTAAGTCCATCCCATCCATCGTCTTGCCAATTAGCCAAGAACTTTGGAGATGCCCTTTACGAATACCTTTCTAACCGTATAGCCAGGATTCTCACTTATTTCTCTTAAAGGTTTGGAGACAAGTTGCAAAGCCAAAGGTTAATGCAAGCCCAAATGGGATATAGGTTTGTCTCTTAATTAAAGTTTCAGAGAATATTAGACTACGTTTAAGCTTTTGACACTCTTTAGTTTTTATATAACTATAAGCTCGAGAGATAATTGGACTCAGAATCTCTCTCTCTCTCTCTTCTACAAAATGAGTAAAATTTTGGAATAAAAACTTTGCCCACAAAACATTTGACCTGGTGCTTTTCCCCTTTCCTCTTACCACTCGTCAGGACACTCGAACTTTTCTCATTATCTGCCGGTTTTGGGTGTTAGGTGCACACGAACAAATCCGCTCTCTGACGCTCTCTGACTCTTGCATCTGCCATTTTGGTGCAAAAGTTTATAATTGAACATTAATGAAATAAAGCTCGATTAAATTTTGCACCCAAGGAATGGAACAAAGGGTACGTCGAAACTGTCATAAAATGTGACAGAAGGTGGGCTGGAAACGCTGCGGCTTTTGGCTGAATGTTGGACAGGGTGTGGGCGTGGGCGTGCAGTGGCGTAAAGTTTTGACATTCCAAAGTCTGACCAGCAAGCTCGTGGCAGCCAAAAGTCCATTAACAGCCACAAGGACCTCGTAAGAGCAGAAAAGGAAAGGGCTACATGCATAGAATGTACTGGAAAAAAAGAGATTAAGGAAGAAGAAGGAAGATTTCAAGAAGAAATATATTCTGGAAAGGAAAACAGTTTTTGAAATTTTTGTTGCCATTTTTCTAACACAAATGATATCTCTGCCACTCACACACATTAAATTGCTACCAATCCCACCCATTACAAGGAAAGGCGTGGCAAGGACAATAATCATTTTCAGCAGCAAACGTGCAAACAGAGAGGGAAAGAGAGCGCCAGCGAGAGTGAAGCAAACGAGAAGGAAATTGTAATCAAAAGTCCTCCATTTGATACAGAATACCCGCACATATAACTAAGTGTAACCATTAGAAAAGCTGTTAGCCATTTCCCCACATCCGATCTACTGTCTCCTGGTGCTTCTTCAGTTTCTGTGTGCATGTGTGTGGTGAGTGTATGTGTTTTTAGTTGCCATTTTGGTAGGCAAAAAGAGAAGCATTCAAGGCATTGACAAAAATAGTCATAAAAGCACTAAGCAAACAAAAAAACTTTCACCACAGAATCGCAGAAGCAAACAATTTTCCTTTTATGCACAGGCATAAATGTATTTGTGGTGGGTATATACACAAACACATATACTCGTATGTACTCGAACCTGTGGAAGTGTGTGTGTTTATGTACTTCTGTTTGGCTTGGTTGGATACACAATCCCCAGACATGGCATTATATTATGTACTTCAAATACAGAGCAAAGCCAAGTGGCTTTTCCTCTGCTGATTTCTTGCCTATTAAGAGCTGCAGGCGCAATTCTGTGTGCCATCTTTTTAGGCGCTTTGATAGTGACTGTGACTGTGGCTGTGGCTTAGGAACTTAGTTGTTGTTAAGCTTAAGATCTGTCTAAGCTGGTTTAGCGTGCAACTAACTTTCAGGCGGAGTAGCACAAGCTTGATTATGCTACATGGCGGATATTTAAGAGTTTTCGTGTGATAAAATATTCTAGGAATATATTTATTGTACTTTTATCTAATATAAAGTGTTAAAGTATGCAATTATTGATTCAAATCAATAGCTGTTAATAATGTGTTGGAGAAATTTGTACAATTTGCTACGGAAATTAAGGGATCTCCTGAAATGTCGGTGTATATTTCCACCATTTTGTAGCACAATTTCCAACTGCCTTCTGCAATACATTTTAGCTGCAACAGTGGCCCTAATTGCAAAAGACATTTTGTGGGCAATTAAAGCTCATCAAGAATGCAAAGCTTAATGCACAGACAGACACACAGATATAACCCACACATCTGTAAACATATCACTGTCCCACACACACGCATTACATTTTTAAAGAAACATCCCGTCTGGTGGGGCTCTTCTGCTACGCGGAGGCTGTCATTAAATTTTAATTAGAAGGAAAAGAACGTTTGCTCGCCTCGCCTCGCATCGCTTTGCGTCTCCTCGAATTTCCATTTGTGTTGTGTTTAGCATATAAATTACTTGGGGCACATGCACAGGCGGCATGGCGCCTCCAAAGTGTGCCAACATTTTGTGAACATAAAAACAACTTAATTACTTTTTTCTTTTGGAGCGCCGTCATAATGATTTATTCCATAGTCGTAGGAAATTTTTGGGTGGGTCAAAACCCTAGCCTAACATTTTGATTGATGTTCCCAACAGATGATGTTCATGGACTAATTTTGGCGTTCGCTTTTCTCTCTGATTTTCTTTATAGCAAAAATTCTACTATTCTATATAATATTTTATGCGGCGTTAACTGGATTCTTTGCTGCCATATTTACGGTGTTCTATCAAACATTGGACAACGAGAAGCCCAAATGGATGCTTGACAATGGTTTGATTGGATCCAATCCAGGTTAGTTCAACCCACTAAGCCATAACTTCTACACGATAAAGCTTTGCCAAACAAGGGCTGTAAACTCATTGAAATTCCAGGGCGTGAAAACAAACAAAATTTCGTTTAAATTAATCAAACATACGCGCTGGTATCCTTACTTATAAATTGGCCTACCACATGAATTATAATCGAAGCAGACACGTTCCAGCACAGATGGATGGATGGGCCGCGCCCCAAGGGCACACCCATATATAATATATTAAATACATATAGCCAATAATATACATGTACATATGTATGTATTTCCGACCACACATGTGTGCGGTTACACACGCATCTGGAATGACAATGAGCCTTCGACCAAAGCCGTAGTTAAGAACTAAATAAAATACCAAAATTTAATTAACTAATTGGATGTGAAGCGAATAAAAGACGTTGTTGATGGGGTGGACAGCAAATCAATTGGATTTTCATTTAATCACGAACAACTCTTTATTTCTTCCTTAGGTCTTGGCTTCCGACCAATGCCACCAGAGGCGAATGTTGAGAGCACTTTAGTTTGGTACGAATCATCGAAGAAAGATAACTACCAGTACTGGGTCGATGAAACTGCACGATTTCTGAAATGTAAGTAGGAAGACCCTCCGGAGCTGAGTGAAAACTTTTAGCCAGAAAACTTTTTAATTGTACCGATGGACAAACAAGAACGATGGATGGTCTTTTTCATCCAAAAGAAGTACACAGAAACCGAAAGAAAACTGAAAGCTGAAACCTCAAGTTTTTGTTAGCACAGGCAGAAAGTTTTCCACTGAAAATCCAATTTCCCATTTTAATATACCGCATGTTAAGTTTTTGTTGATGTTTAACTGAAATATTTTCAATGTTTTGATTTTTGGGTAACCGATTAAAAAGATCACAGTAAGTGAAATTATATTTTGTTACCCGTAAAATATTTTGCTACATATGCTCAAAAGTATGCCAGGACCCCTGAAATTATAGATAATGCACATGACTATATTATATATGATAATAAAAAATAAACTTCCTTTAGCTTACGAGGACGAGGATAAACAGAACCATGTAAACTGCTCCTTCGAGCATCCCCCACCAGAGGGCAAGGTGTGCGGTGTTGAGGCCTCAAGCTTTGCACCCTGCACAATTGAGAATAACTTTGGCTATCATGTGGCCCGGCCCTGCATATTCCTCAAGTTGAATAAGGTATGTGAGCCACATACGCTCCTCCAGCTATCACAGACCTTTATAGAACTTAAAAATTCCCTCAATTAACAAATTTTTTAGATTTACAACTGGATACCAGAAATTTACAACGACTCAAAAGCTTTGCCCGACCACATGCCCGAGGAGTTGAAGCAGCACATCAAGGAGAAGCAACAGCTGCGACCAAATGAGGTGAAATTTATTTATAGGCTGAAAATATTTTGTCCACTCGATGGATAATATCTCTTCCTGTATCTGATTTTCAGACTGGCGTCGTTTGGGTATCCTGCGAGGGTGAGAATCCCGCCGATGTTGAGAACATTAAGGCTCGCGATTACTATCCGCGCATGGGTTTCCCACGCTTCTATTTCCCATTCAAAAATATTGCCGGCTATATACCGCCCATCGTCGCTGTACAGTTCACTGTCGAAAGTAAGTACAATTTTTCATATTTTCTTAAGGTTTTACTTCCCTCATTGGGTTCATTTAAAAGGGATCGTTTAAATAAATCCAGAATGATGGTTAACGAGAAGGGACGTGTGAGACGCTTCTTACGCGTCACAACTTTTATACCCGGCACTCAGGACAACATCTGCACCTTAGCGGTTATTTGTCAAATTTTAAATTTTTTCTTCATCTGTCATCTACATCTACAACACGCTCCTTTAGCTCGCCCCCCCTAGAGCCAAACACTGCAGAGTCATGGCAGAGGCAGAGGCTGTGTGTAAATGAGAGAATGTGAAAAAATAACAACAAAAGCTGCGGGACAGGGTGTGTTTAGCCACTGAAAATTTATTTCTTTATTGTGGCTATAAAAATGGTCCAATCGGATCCCATTTTGTGATCTGATAGATATAGTCATTCCCTACGGAATGGCGTTTTTAGTTTTCTTTTAACTTCAAAATTGTAGGTTTGGAAGGGTTTCGCCCTTTTGCGGGGGGGGGAAGGGGGCGTGGCTCATTTTTTAAATACACTTGTAACAGTGTGAGCATACAGAAGTCTGGATGCAAAATTTGGTGGCTCCAGCTTTTATAGTCTCTGAGATCCAGGCGCTCATAAAGATGGACGGACGGACGGACAGACAGACAGGGCTCAATCGAATTGGCTATTGATGCTGATCAAGAATATATATACCTTATGGGTTCGGAAACGTTTCCTTCTGTGCGTTACATACAACCGTTATTCCCCACAAATACAATATACCCTATTTACTCTTCGAGTACCGGGTATAAAAAGAACTGCAGGCTCAACATTTAAGTTTGCGTTTAGATCAATAAAATCCACTAAGTAAAGACAACAACCGTTTATTAGGATCGTGTTTCCTCTAATATGTGTCCTACTTAGCAGTTTAATTTGGGTGTACAGTTGGGATTGCTGTAAATCATTGGTAAATCTATGAATCAGATAAACAATATGAAAATATTATAATATACTTTAATTCTCAATTGCGTTAGAAGATATGAACCAGCCAGCAGCCACCAACATTTTTGGTTGAATGTGAATCGTTGAAGTTTAACGTAGCAAAGACATCCACCATGACTGCGAACCCTACTTCCCCTACAGAGAGTGTACCAACATTTTTTTATAGGTTTATGTCCCATGTGGAATGCATTTAGATAAGACAACAACCCTGGATTTTATTAAGTCTCTCTTAGGGGACTTTTCTCTTTGCTTATATTCTCACCGCTATTTCCTGTGTTTGGCTTTCTGCAAGTGCGTAGAAAAGCAGACGACGAAATCGGAGTTTTGATTAATAAACATTGCAAACTTTCATAAACAATGCTGCAGTTCACTCCATTGCACTTGTAAGACTCCACATTAGTTCTAGAATCTTCTGTTTCTTAAAGTATTCCCGCACATAAAACTAATTAAAACGGCCATAAAAAACGAGCTGAACTCACTTTTTTGGCATGAGAACACTTTAGCGGAAATAGACTTTCCATTATCGCTTTTCGTTTCGAAAACCTACCCATTTGGGCATAATCGAACTATTGTCTTTGAATATTCAAATTTTTGTAGTGGTCAGCAGAAAACGTTTTCATGGCTAAAAAGTAAATAATTCCTTGATTAGCTTTTACTTAACTAAGTATTTGGTATGCAAGATTTCTATGTAGAGTAAGTAGCGTTTTCTGTCCCGCCTTAGCCATAAATGAAGCAACATATTCTCCATTTAGCGAGACCACACAATAAATTCCAACACTTTTAGCAACTTATGGTCGATTTTTGCCCAGAATCACCATGAAATGACACGTTTCTGCGTGAAATTTAGTTCGTAGAACCCCAGAGAGCCATTCATTATGCTTAAGTGGAGTAAGGAATGGCATTATATTACCGTGTCCAGCTGATTAAAGCCAACTAATGAGAAAAGCTATTAATTACAACTAATTGACAGCCGTAAACGCTGGCTAAGTAAACATTATAGTGAGAACAAGGTACGAGGAATCCGTCGGAGGAGTGTGGGCAAGGGGCGTTCCCTTTATGCACTGAAAGGCAAAACGGAAAAGGAGGAGCAAACAAAACCAAGCCACAATCCATATAGCATGAAAAATGGGGCAAAAGTGTTTGGAATGTTAATCAAACGCAGACGAAGGAGAACTCAGAAGACGGAGACGAAGACCCACTCTGGGTTGTCGTTTTCGTTGTCGTTGTCGTTGTCGTTGTCCCTACGGAACCTACGGAACCTCCTGGCATACAGAAACCCAATTTTACGGCACAATAAACATTAATAATGCTTTTGTCTGTGGCAAAGGAGTACGTACTGGTAAAAGAAAAAATAGGAGCACGGAAATGGGAATAGGAATGCATAGAAATGCGTAAGGGAAGTTAGAGGCATTTGGCTCGTTTTCCTTTTGTTTTCAATACAAACAATTTCTAAGCCATTAATCCGCTTATGGAATGCGTTCGTTTGGCAAATGGGTTACGAATAATTGAAGATGGAATTGAGAATTGCGAATTGAGAGCAGAGCAGTGCGCACATTTCCCCGTGAAATGCCACACAGTGGAGCCAACAGTGCGTACAAGCAACACAATTTGTGTAACCAAACTGGACCGAAGCTTACGTTGAGTTTCACAATTTTCTTGTAGCATTTTCCTAGATCCTCCCACTCTGATTTGGGGGGCAAGCTTTCATTGCCTTCGTCGCATTGCGGCCTACAATTTCTCTTTTGCAAATGTGAAATTCAATATTAAATTAGTTATGTAAGCGGAAAATTGCCTTGCATGTGTACCAGCAGGGGGCGTTGGGCGTGGCAGGCTCACTTGAGGGGGTCTTTTATAAAGAGAACAAAAAAAAGTTACAAAAAAAATACAAAGCGATAGGTAGAGAAAATGGAAAAAGTTTTATAATGTAAATTGTATGCTGGCGCAAGGATTGAACTTTTCGCAGCAGTCGAATGTGAGTTTATGTGTGTATGAATGTGTGTGTGTGTGAATGTGTGTGTGTCGTATATTTGAATAATGACAGTTGAAATGGCAGCAGATAGAGCTGAGCGCCATGAATAGCCTGCCATTTATATGCGACAACAACTAGAAAAATAATAGGGAAGTGCTAGGGAAACACTCCCCCGAGTGTTTGACTTTCCACACACTTTTAGCGGGTACATTTGATTGTATAACTTATAACACATTCACTTGCCGCTATTGTCCCTAAAAACGTTGCACACTTTTTGGCACACTTTAATTTGGAGTGGAATGCAGCTGCTAAAAAAAATGTCTTTAGCTCTAGCTTTAGCTTCTTATTACATTGTTCCCTTTTTTGCCCTCACTGCCCTCACTGTGTGCATACAATTTATTTCGTTTTCTGTCACTTGATGGCAGCGGCAACACTTCCGTTTCCGCTCGAGTAACGGCACAGTGGTGGCCTCCAGCAGGGCTCTCTCTCTCTGTCTCTGCCTCACTGCTTCTCCCTCTGCCACTCCTGGCATTCAAAATGAGATAATAACGCCCTGAACCAAGCAACGAAAGAAACCAGAAAGCGAGCTACAGAAGATTTTCAATTTACTCAAAGTCCCAGCGGGCAGAGGGAAGGGCAGGGAATCATTTTGCCAGCGGACACTGCTGAAAGGGATAAACGTTGGGCAAGGGTCTCTTATTTGCGCAGAAATAATGCAAAATAATATTTATGCAATGTGCAAAAGACTGAACATAATTTGCATGCTACGCAGAATATACAGAGATTATTTGCCATGCGACAAAAGGAAAGAGAAAGGCGCACTGTTTGAGTCATTCTTATAGGTATATGTATGTATGTAGATATTATTTAAATATTATAAAAACTCCTTGAGCTTAACTAATGAATCCCACTAATTTATGATCACTTCACTCTCTTTTTGTAGCCGGCGTCTTGATCAACATTGAATGCAAAGCCTGGGCCCGCAACATCAATCATGATCGCTCGGACAGGAGAGGATCCGTCCACTTCGAGTTGATGGTCGACTAAGAGATGCGTTAATCATCTGGAGCAGCAGCGGAGTGAGCAGCGCAGAGAAAGCAATGACGGAAAGCGAATAAGAAGAGACGAACGGGAGAGTGTTTGCGAAGAAGAAATAGCAGCAGCAGCAAGAACGACAACAAAACACACACACACAAAGCAAAAGCAAAGAAAAATGAGCAAGTAAAAGCATGAAAAGAGAGAGCGAGCAAATGTAGCAGAAAAAAGCGTAAGCGAAAAGTTTTACAAGTACAGCAACAACCAAAGAGAACACTAAAAAATGCTACAAGAACAAAAGAAAAACCTTAAAAAAACAAAACCTAGCGCTAAAAAGAAAAGCAAAAAACAAAATGGAAAAACCCAAGAGAAACACAAAAAACCAAAAAGATAAAAACAAACCTACCCAACGCTAACAAAAAAGAACGCCCCACACAGATACACCACACACAAACACACATGCGAAAACAAAAGAAAATCCCTTAATTTGTTAGGCAAATTTTTATTTAGTTAACAATTTAGGCGAAAAAAAGGAAATGCAAAGTGAAAAGCAAAAAAACAAAATAATTGGCAGGCCACATAATTTAGCGCAAAATATTCTATTATCATTAATAAATAATGACAAAAAAACTTAAATAAAGATAAACAAATTGTTGTTAACAAATTCTTCTTGGTTTTTTGGTGTTATTTTTAAACAAAAACAAAAAGCAAAAACAACAAATAAACGGAAAACAGCGAAACTTAAAAAAATGAAAGCAGAGCAGCAACTGTACTTAAAAGAAAACCAAAATGGAAAAACAAAAAGAAGAAACTTATTTAAACAAAAGTACATAAAAACAATTATTTATAACAATTAAATATATATATATATATACACGATATATATATAAAGAAATTGTACAATTGGAAGACATATATACTTAAAGAGCAAGAAGCCCTCCCCATCCACCAACCAAATATAATTTGTTCTCACCAAACACATGAACAAATAGCAAAGGCGAACAATTGTTTAAATACGAAAAATTTATAAGGCAAACTCCGAACATAAAGTGTAGATTTTTAAATAAACAAATATAAAACATGAGGAAAAACCCTTGAATAATAAGAGGAAAACTGCAACCCAGGCGCGGCATAGTTAATAAACAATAAACAAATTAAAGCAACCAAACGAAAAAAAATGCATAAATGAATGGCAAACCAAAAAAAGGCAAAAAAACCCAAGACATATTTAAAATTAATACTCTTCACTTATTATTGAAAACAAAAGCAAAAGAATAAAGAACAAGCCCAAGATCATTAATGTGAAAATTGAATGGAAGACAGCAGACAGCAGACAGCAGCAGATTATTGAGGTAAACAAAAAAGCAGATACACGAGAAATAGCTGAAAAAGTAAAGTACAGAGTAACTGGTTACAATAACAATGAAGAGCATATAAAATTAAAAATATATTATGTATACAACAACCAAAAAAGCAAAACCGAAAACCCCGAAATAATAATAAAAACGAAACTTAATTCAAACTAAATACAAAACAAAAACCGTTTCCATCTCCACGATATGTTTTACAGCTGAGGGCACAAGCATAGAAGCAGAACGATGCTAGGGGAGGCCTTTGCTTTCGGATAGCACTTGAGAAATGACAGCGAAAACGCATTTCAAAACGCCACAAACACACACAAAACCAACCCACAGACTCTACTTTTGATTTACAGCCGAATCGAACCGAACAGTTGACTCGAATTGAATATAAAAGAAATACCTAGTATGTGTGTAGGCCTCAACTAAACTTGCTAACCAAACGCGCTCTATTTTCCCAAATAAGTCAAAGAAAAACCATTGAAAAAAATTAACAAAAAAGAAACAACAAAAAAAAACAAAACTCTTAATGGCATACCAAAAGCTTAATAAACTAACCCCCTTTTTCCATCCACTTTAACTAGTGTAATTTCTAAGCAGAAGACGAAGGGCAGGCAGACAGACAGTCAGGAGGCAGACGGCAGAAGATGTCAAGGCAATTTATCCGATAAAATGCCGAATGCAGAATGTACACGATGAATTGTCGCAGAGAGAAATCAATAAATAATAGTTTAATGGGAAATGTTATACATAAATATATATTTAAAATATATGTATTATTAAAAAAAGGAGGGACAAGATGATGTATTAGCCCCAACTTTCATGAAAGAACTTGAAATGTAAATGAAAGCGGCTTAAGAAATTGCAACAAATAAAAAAAAAACAAAAATGATGCCTCAAAATCGAACTAGAGAGGGGCAAAACATTTCCAAAGGTTTCCAAGAATTCTCTAAATTAACTTTTAAAAACTTTCAAAGTTCCCATTTCGTTCCTCTCTGGTTCTGGTAAAGTGCATTTCATTGGAAAAACCCCCATTTGTTTAGTTATTTAAAAGTATATATTTTTCACGAAATTCTTAAAAAAAAAAGCAAACAAACAAGAAGACGACACGCAAAATTGTTTAAACATATAACAAACCAAAAAATAAATAGTTTTCTAAAATTTTTGCTAGTGCATGTTTTCCTATGACTAAGCTAAATTAATTATGAAGAAAAAAAACGAAAAAAACAAAATGAAAATGAAGATATTTAGTTAAGTAGTGTAATCAAATGCCAGCAGCAGAGGTTGTCACTAAACACACACATACACACAGACACAACAGATGCCTGTTGGGAGATCTTTCACCATATGATAATTCACATTCAATACCCCGGCAATTGCAGACAGAGCTTCGATTAGAGCTATACGAGTATTTATATATACATATATATATGATATGTATGCCCGATCCCCATAGCTATGCGATCCTTAGTTCTATTAGAAGAATTTCACGCACAAAATTTCGACTTTCGATTGATTTTTTCCCTCTTTGTTGTTATTTTGTTGTCCCCGGCAATGTGTGTTCCCAAAACCGCCGATAAATATTAATAGGTTATCTAGGGTAAAATAAAAGAAAATACAACTTATAAAATTATAATAATAGTAACGAATAAAACCAAAAAAGATAAGTACATGAAAAAGTTGATGATGAAAAAACTGCCAAGTAAATGTTTGACCCTCTAGCTTAATAAATTGGCTTGAAAATATTTCGAAATTACCTTCTTTTTGTTCGATCAGTTCCCGTTCAGCTGTCCTGTCCGGCAATTGCCAGGGGAAAATGATGTTTCGGATCCAAATCCAAATCCATGTTGGGGGGAAGAAATGTAAAAACCCTTTGCAGACTTTTGCTCACATCGATAGGCGGCAACTACTAGCACACAATTTAAATGAATTATATTTAACAAGCATATATATAAACTGCCATTTTTTAAAAATAAAATATATGAAAAATATATAAAAAACAAAAACCAAAAAAGCCAACAAAAAAACGACATTTTTTGTGTGTAAACCGACAAACTGCGATCAAAACCAACACCAAAAGGCAACAACAATAAATGTTCAACATGTTTCACACAAGTTTTTAACAGATGGTTGGAATAACTTCACCCCTAAAATCATATATAGACAAATTCTTGTTCGACTTTCGCTGAAAGAAAATGACAAAAAAAAGCAAATAAGAAAGACGAAAGAAAAACCAAAAAAATCAGGCCGCAATTCCAATTCCTTCTCGACTAGACATCCCCAAGGGGGGTCGTTCAGTTAGGCGTTCCGTTCCGAGAGAGTAGCAAGATCGTAAGGTTTGCACATTTTTCGGGTCTTCAGTTCAAGGGATCTCTCACAGAATGGTGCAACACACTGCGGCGCATATAGCAAAACGAAATGTGTAGTCAAATAAATAAATATATATATATATACATATATATGAAATATATAAATTGTTTACAACTAATATGTTGACTTCATTTGCATTTGCATTTGGTTTTAGCAACTACACAAAAACAAATATTATGGCAAAACTAGCAGCATTAGAAAACATGATACAACTAAAAATATAACATAAAATAAATGGAGGATGGAATGAAGGACGGATTGCAAAATGAATACAAAATTAAAACATGGTGTATTTAAAATTAAGCTATCTAGAATCTAAGGTAAAAATATAACATAAAGATATATATACATAAAAATATATGAGAAATGTTATATACATAAATCGTAAATGAAATGAAGAAACAATGTAAAATTACATCTAAGTACGATTACAGTTTTTGATTTTTGATTAAAACAAACCGAACGAACAACAACCAGAACAACCGAAATTCAAACGACAATTTGAAGAACAGCCCACAAATGAAATTTGGTTAAAGAAAAAAATTCAGACATAAAATCGCGCTTTACAGCCGCTTTTAGTTTTTGACAAATTATCTAGTGAGGAATACCCTAGTAGGAACTACATTATTATTATTATTATTATTATTTACGAAAAGCAACCCAAATACAAATACCATTTGTTTTAATTCAAGAAATGGCAAATGGAAATAGGAAGGTCCTGCACCAGCGCAGAGGTTCAACAATAAAACAAAAACTACCTTTAGTTTACTTTTGCAATTCAACCTAAAACAAAAACCAAGAAAAAACCTAACAGATTGCTTTAATTTAGGTTTAAAAAAATTAAAAATACAAATGAACAAAAAAAGGACAGAAAAAAAAAACAAAAAATCCTTCATAAAATCATAGTAAAACTAAAAAAAATGTGTGTAACAAGATGATGAAAAACAAACACTGCTTTTTGTATTATTTAAGTTTAACTATAAAAGTATAAATATTAAAAAGGAAAAAACAAAAAAAAAAACAATAAAAAAACATAAGCTGTAATATTAACAAGAACTTACAAGAACAAGTAAATGAACATCAACAAACAAGAAGGGAAAGAACAACAAAAAGAAAATGCTGCATAAAACATTGAAAGAATATGAATTGATGAAAAACCAAAAATGAAATGAAACGATGTCGTGTACGAGTAACGAAAAATGAGAAAAATGTTTGAAAAATTTTACTGAATTCAATAAAAATATTATGTTGATGGAATTAAGTAATTCCAAATAAACAAAAAACAAAAACCGGGTGCGTTTTTATTCAAAAAGTATGGGTATTTGGGGAAAACTTTCTAAAGCTCGTATTTTCATATTGTGGATGTTGCATGAATATGAACATGATGATTATTTTGTTGGATATTTCAATTTCTACGGAATTATCAGAATCTTCTGTTGCTTTCCATTGTTCACTGGCCTTAAAAGATTATTGAGACAACATTTTTCAGAACGTATATTTATATATTTTTAATCATACAAATTCAAAAACTCTGAAACGCCACCTATTGGTAGTTATATGATCAATATCTCGACAACATCGATAGTACAGACTGATAGTACAGGGCTTTCAGCGCCACCTCGCGTGTTTCAGGGCAAACAATTATTTACATCTACATCCATTTTACACAGCTGTTGAGCTATCTGATTAAATCAAGGGAGACTGAGAAGGTTAAGTTCCACAACCACATTTTTTTCTGGCGTATTCGGTGCTCATACTTGAGTAGCGTAATATCGATATTTTTATGAAAACGGTAGTACGGGAGCACGTCTGACAGAAGAGAATTTCCCTTGAACCCTTGAACAGCGTGCATAGCTAGCTTTATTTTGAATTAAAGTCTCTTTAAGCTTTTTGAATACCCGAAGATGTCAAACTATCGGTAGTTTTGCAACTCATTAGTTGAAAGTTCGATCACATATATCGGTAAATTATGGTATATTTCACCAATTATTTGGTATATTACGGTATATTTCTGAGGGTCAGACCATTATATTGAGGTTTAATACCCAAATATATTTTTTTTTCTTTCCTACCATTAAGTGCTCACAAGGCGACATATGTTCACACTTACACGAACTCTACACAATATCTACGTAATGTTTACACAGCTGTTGGCACCATCGATAGTGCCTACCGATAGTAGGTTTTGCAAATTTAAATCAAGTTTGTCAACCTATTTTCATATATTGAACTTTTTATTTTGAGTAAAATTAAACGTTAGGTATATGTTTATAATTACAAGCCATCCACCGACATTGGAGTCTTTCAGTTATTCCATATTCGTGCTCTAAAATTAGTGTCAGTTTCAGCTGGAAGAGGAAAAACATCGCCAAGAGCAACAGTCGATAGTATCGAGTATATGGAGGGTGTGAGCGGGATAGCAGGAGAAAAAAAAGAAAAATAAGTGGACGTGAGAAGCGAACAACAACTATTATCGTGTGCCATTCGTCCGACATCCAAAAAGAAGAGCAGAGCTAAAACTTACATCTGAACATAAAACCCTACAACAGACAGACAAATTGCAATATGTTTGCCCACAAATTGGTGCTGCTAGGCACAACACTGCTTTTGCTGAGTAGCGCAGGTGAGTGCGAATAAAAAACTACTTGAACCCAACACCCCACTCACCAGAAAACTGCGTCGCACTGGAAGCCTTTGTTCAATTTGCTTATTCATCGCGAATTATTTATATTTCCTTTGGTTTGGCTGTCTCGCTTGTACGCGCACGTAACCCGCTGATGGTGTGTTGTTGTAGCTTTTATCTGTGGAATAGTTAAAAACAAACTGCGCTGGAATATAATTAGGCGCTGTACTAGGCAAAAAAAAGTGTCGAACCGTGTACCGTGTGTTTGTCTGTTCGGTGTGTAATGCAAAAACAGCAAATACTAGAATTATCTAGATTTATCAGGCCTTAGCCGTTGGTCGTGGTTCTTTTGGTGGCTATTGCTCCGTCTGACCTTAGTTTGTTCTTCGGAGAACACCACAAAATGGTGGCATAGAACCGTTGCAATCGAACGAAGAGAATGAAGTCAACAATGTCTTCACCCCCTCTCTCCGTTGCTCGCTTATCCGGCTACCTGCATCCGAGGGACTGCGGGAACATGAGGAATATCATCCAGATAAAGCAATTTCATTGCACCCTCTCTTGCTCTCTTCTCTATCCATTCTCTTTCGATGCAGGCATATTCAATTTCTCGTCTCATCTTGTGCTCTTTCTTCTCTCGGCACCTCCGCCTCCTCTATTGTGCACTATATAATTATATTTGATTCACAGCAACAGCAACTAAATTGTTATTTATTTGCTTAATTTTGCTTCATTGTTCTTCCCTTATCGTCGCGACGACCGCTTTGCCCCGCCGACGAGGGGGCGTTTTGCGATAGACGGAGTTACTCGTAATACCCTTCTAGCACTAATACTAATTCGTTCCGTCTCCGATTTCCTGCGGTTTTTGTTATTTCTCAACTCTCTGACTTTTCCATTGCTAATCTCCCATGCCTAAGTCATATATTTGCATTCTATTCAGCCGCCTTATGGGTGCCATTCAGAAATCTGTTTAATAGTTGAAACTTGTCGTGGAAAAGTCGGAATGCGAGCGCCTCCCGAGTGGCTGCTGATAAGATTTGTTCTGCTATGCAGTCCCTATTTTACTTGCATATTGTGCAAAAAGTATTCCAAAGCAAGCTAGCCGGAGGCCATATGGAATGGATGGCAGTTGCGTGGATAGCCTTGAATCGATTTGTAACCGGAATAATGGTTAGGAGGTGCTAAAAAGATTCATTAAACTGATTACAGAGTGCCTTCTCACTTTTGCGGTCATTTGCCTTGCAGATTTATGGCTGAGTTTTACTTTCCATGGACCTTTCCTATTTCCGACTGTACTTCCGAGTTATAGCCTCTCACATATCGCCAATTAGTCCACTCCACCACTCGTATTCTATGCATATTTTTCCATTTACTCTCTGCATGCCGTTGCGAAATAAATCTTATTACCACAAGCGATTTATTTTCCCATCGTTTTTTTCTGTACTACATGTCTGGGGCCGCGACACGCCCCATGCCAGGCTGTCTGTCTGTCTTCTTTCCGTCTCTCTGTTTGCTTGCTTAACTTGCATTTAAAGGTCATCTCTCTGGACTGCATTACAGAATGGCATTGAACTAGAACAGGGCCCAAAGGGGGGAGGCGAGACCTGTAACCGCAGAAAGGACGGCGGCAGTGCCCACAGGGTTCAAAGCCACATACCAGAACAGAACAGTAGAACATTTGCTTTAAAATATAATGAAATTAACAGCTTTATGTACAACAATTAATCCATTAAGACAGCGATGAATCATGCAAACCCAATAACTACTAAAAGCTTTACTGACACTGCTTGTTTTTAAAAAAAAAACACATGACTGATTCCAAGGGAATGATCAAAGGGCAGAGTCTCGGAGGGAATAGATAAAATTGTTGACTTGCATTCGGTAGGTTAAGTAATCTGTTGCTGCAGAAACGAAAAACATGCAAATCCACCCATTTATTTGCGATAAGTTCTCTGGAATTTCGGTTCACTATGATATCATGTTATCCAACAGTTGTATAAGCTCGATTCGCTGTAAGTGTGTTCTCCCACATTTGCCTGTTTTTTTCTATTGGGTGGGTTACTTGCATTTTGTCCCGTTCCGCCACCCGTCCAGCAATCGTGATTCTTTCGTTATCAGTTTTGTAGCTCCAAAGCGCAAATGAATTATTCATCGAGCGGAAAGTGAGTCACCCTGGTGACAATTCAGTAAAGGCTTGGATGGGGCAAGCGAAACAAAGAAGATGCAATTCCAGCAAAAACAAAACTCAATAAAGAGCGTGTTGGGGGGTCTCTGTGGGTGCCCGGAATGAACTTAAACATGGAGCAATTGTGTGCGTACTCTTAGGGACAACTAGAAACTTTAATAGTACTTCAGTTTACAGGTACAACAAGTTGAATGAACCCTAGATACCCTTTATATTACCTGAAACAAAGCAAAGTCTATTGTAAGCCGGTAACTGGCTCGCCCGTCTCTTTTGTTGCCATACAAATGATAAAGCAGGGAGAACACATGCTGATAAGATAATTTCTAGACAAATAACTTTAATATAAACTGTTTATATATTTCTTACAGTTCACTCGCAAAGTTCTATTAGTTTGAAGGATGCCCACTTTGAAGAGGCACCAAAAACTGTGGAAACAACATCAGAGAAACCGCTGACATCGAGCAGCAGCACCTCCACCTCAACAACCACCACCACTACAGCAGCACCCACAACTTCAACGACAACCACTGTGAAGCCAAGCTCCAGCTCAACATCAACGACAACGACGACCAGCACCAGCACTAGCACCAGCACTGAACCACCAAAGAAAACCACTACACCTGCTCCAGTGCCAACCACCACACATGCACCGCAACCATATCCAGGACCCAAGGTGGGCACATGGAATGCCAGCTGCATTCTGCTCACGATGGCCGCCCAACTGAACTTTACATATGAGACCAAGGGTGAGGCATTGAACCCGCCGTTTAGTTATCCCTTGCTAATTATTTATCTTTCTTTAGATGGAAAGATGGCCCATGGCCTGTACAACATACCAGCCAATGCCAGCATTGGGGATCATGTGTGCGACAGCCAGACCATTCAAACGATTCAATTGAGCTGGGGACCCACAACCTCTGTGCAATCGATGCTGATGCAGTTTGACAATAAGAATGCAACCACTGTGCTCTCCACCATTCAAATCCATTTGTCTGTGCTCAGCGAGGACTTCCCCGATTCCAAGGGTAGGCAGTACCGAGTTTACTCCAGAGATCCATGCTAATGCTCCTTTTGTTTTCTGCAGAGAACCAAACTCTTCAGCTGATTCATCGTGGCAGTGATGAATTCAAGACGCCCGAGAAGATGTCCTACCACTGCACACGCCCACAAATGCTTAACCTGACGGAGACCGTGGACTTGAAGCCGGAGATTGGATGGCTCAGCGTTAGCAATGTGCAGGTGGAGGCTTTCCGTGGTGCCGATGCCAAAGGTTTTTCCGCCGTGCACGATTGTGATAGCTCGGAGACCTCGGATGTGGTGCCCATTGCCGTTGGCATTGCCCTGGCCGCCTTGATTCTGGTCGTTCTCATCTCGTATCTATGCGCACGCCGTCGCTCCACCACGCGCGGCTACGTGAGCTTCTAAGCAGGGAAGAGTATTAATACCTCCAGCAAATAGGGCACTTTGGAATGGGATTGAAACAGAGATCGAAAGAGAGGATAGAAAAGCGTTTGGTGTGTTTGAAATCAGAGAGAAAATTAAGATTGATTTTGATAATTGGAAGCCGTCGTCGTGTGAGCAATGTGGGAGGAATGTCAAAAATTTTCTTTGTTTCGTCAAAAGTTCAGTTTCAGTTTTTGTTTTGTTTTCGTCTAAATCCGTAGAACGCGCTCAAAAGAGAACAAGAAAGGGGTGGCATAACGAGGGGAGATAATATAAAAGAATTTCAATCTGAAGAAGAAGCTCTGTGTAAATCTGTGTCTGTCCCCATGTATGATCTTCTCCGTCTGTCGATCTGCAAAACGAAAGTCCCCGTCTACTTTATAGTGTCCCCCCTTAAATTTTAAACTAACAATAGAAGCACACACCACACAGACACATTTTACTCAATAAATCACGTAAATTTAATTAGCGTGTGTCACACTCCGAAAGAAAAAAGGTGAAAACGAGCAAAGGGTTCAAAATGAATCGTTAATTGTGGGGGTGTATGAAGACAGTCGTCGGTCGCGAATTTTCCAAATAGAACGAACATCATTTTAAATTTTCGAACGTAATATTATCAAAACACAACCACACACACACACACACAGATTTATGTATTATTGGCCTTGAAAGCGTAAATAAAAATTAATATTTAAAACCAATGCATTTATTAGTTTAAGTAAACTTTGTTTTGCTTTGTTGTTAAATGGGCAACAAGCTTTCAGCATTCATTTCCGCATCATCGTCGGAGTCGTCTCTGCTATGCTGGCCACGATACATGCCAGTGCGGGGACGCTCAGCGGGTGGACCCAAAGGATCAAACTGTTGCACTGCCCATACAAATATACATTAAAGATGGTCTAAGTAAAATATTGGTTAAATGGTTAAATTACCTGCAAATGTGGCAGAAGTTTGTCTATAGGCCATGGTGCCAGAGATGTCGCTATTTTCCTGCAGACGCTCCTCATTAGAGGGTCGTATAGCTGCAAAAAGAAAAGAAATATCAGAAATAAACGTTCCCGATGCAGGATGAAAAATCTCTACTTCTCATGCGACTGCTGGTTGATGTAGCCGATGACAGACGCTGCTGCTGATAGCGTTGCTCATTCTGTCGCTCTTGCTGCAGCTTGTGCAGACGAGCATAGTCCAGCGAGTAACGCTCATGAAGATCTGTGAGGCCGAGGCTCTTGGTCACCTGCATCAAGGCGCGCACACAGGTGAGGTTATCCGGAAATCGTGCATAGATCTTCTCGAACATGCCCAGATACTGCTTGGGCGGCAGATAAGAGTTGCGGAAACAGCTGGCAATACGCAGCATGAGATTGGGGTCATTGGGATCAGCGAGAACCGCTCGCTCGTAGTAGTACAGAGCCTTCTCCGTGGCCTGCAGCTTGATATAGTAGGAGCCAATGGAGCTGGCAATGCTGATGTCGCTCATGTTGATGCGATACGCTTCGTTGTAGTACTGATTCGCCTCCTGATGATCCTGTATCTGCTCATACATGGAGCCCACCTTCTCAAACAGCCGCGAATCAATGTCCGCAGCGGAGATGCCCAGCACCTGCAGATATGCCTGCAGTGCTCCCGGCGTTGCTGTTGGCTTGAAGCCACTCCCCACCATCCCCGAGCCATTGCTGAGTCGACGCTCCTGCAACTTGGCCAGCTGATAGTAGACATGGCTATGCTGCACCGAGTGTGGCACCATTAGCTGTGCCTTCAGCAGCTCAAACTGCTCCTCTGCCTGATGATAGTCCTGCTGCGCGAGCGCCACCAAGCCAAGATTATAGTTTGCCTCAAAGCTGTTGGGCTGCAGCTGCAACGCGCGTTCCAAGCGTTGCCTGGCTGAGCTTAGATTCTGCTTCTGCATGTCCACAATGCCAGCATTGATGAGGGCCAAGGCATTGCTTTCCAGTGCTCCAATATCCTGCAGCTGGCTCAGGCAATGCGAGGCCATCTCTAGGTTGCCCAACTGTGGAGTGGAGATTAGGATTTATCAGGTTAAAGCACCGAAATAACTTACACTTATGTAAATAAAACTCAGGTTTGTCAGCGCACTGGCTGTCATGGATCCCTCGCTCTTGCGGTCATACATCTGCAACGTTTCGATGGCCTGATTCACATCGTTCTGTCGCAGATAGACCAACGCTTTGTTGAGTTCGAGTTCGTTGGCCAACCAGGATAGATTCGAGGTCTTGATAATCTCAATGCACCAGTTGTAGCCTGAAGAATTATAGAATTTCAATACATAATCTACGACTGACTATCCCACACACTCACCATCATTGTAGTTCTCCTCAATTATGGGTGATATTAGATCCACAATCATTGTGATGGAACGTTTTTCCGCATTCCTTTTTTGCTTGGTGTACAGCGCCAGTTCATCCGTTTTGAGGGCCTGCAGCACTGAACGATTCTTGGCCTTGGCCGAGTTATTGATCGACTCTTGCAGCTTCTCGTAGGTGCTGCCTCCTTCGGCATCAATTACAGCCACCTCGGCACCACCACTGGCCAGCGCCTCGCCGTCTGTGGACTTTTGCAGCTGATCCCCAGCAGCTTGGCCAGCCTGTTCGGCCTGCTGTTGCAGCTTTATAATATTATTCTCGCTCTCCAGATCACTTTCGCTCTCCACGGCCTGGACATCGCACAGATTGCGGAAGGCACTCTTGATCTTCTCGACATCGCCCATGGCATAGTAGCAGAGCAGCAGATGGATGCCATTCTTGATGTCCGCCCGCTCCGACATGATGAACTCAAAACTAGAGGCAGCGTCCGAATATGAGCTCATTCGCACAAACAAAACCCCAATATTCTCGGTGATCTTCAGACGCAGCTGATTCAGATTCTTCGGCACCGAGTCCAATGCCATGCGATACATTTTAACGGCCTTCGGGTAGATGCCCATCTTGTAGTAAATGTTGCCCATGTTCAGCTTCAACTGATTGACATGGGGAAACATTTTGTTCTTGGTCATAATGCTGTACGTGTTGAGCGCCTCGATGTGCATGTCATTGTGTTCGTATTGCTCGGCGAGGTTGAAGAATACCTAAAAAAGGAAAGCATTTACAGGAGTCGGCAGCGAAGAGTGTGCTGAACTTACCGCATAAGTCAAATCAAAGTTGTGGTACACATTCTCGCCCTGCTGATCCCGGAAGCGGTGCAGTGTCCGATCCAGGGAGAAGGCTTCCTTGGCCTTGTTCAAAGCATCCGCCAGCGCGGATTTAGTCTCCGCATTGACTTCTCCACTGGCACTGCGCGAGGCCAGGACAATAGAAGCCTCCAGTAGCTTGACAATCTTTGCCTCTAAATTTTTGTACTTAATCTGGGGACTTTTAAATTTACATTCTGTTACTATGGTGCGCAACAAAAACGAAGACAAATCCCTACTTGACTTCCTTGGCTGCATCGACGGCTGCATTGGCCGAGGAGAGTGTCTGCTGCTTGGCCTTCTCCAGAAAGAACTGATCGAACCTTTGGCCAGCGGAGCCACTGCTGTTGGCCGCATAGCCCACAGCTCGTACCGCAGTGGAGGGTCGGGCTAGAGCTGTCTTGTCCCCAGCGCCTGCACGACTGCTAACCAGATTACCGCGCTGTAATACATGGAACAAAAATATATATAACTAATGGAGAGTTTTGTTTTAAGATTAGTTTTCCTTACCGAAAAGAGCTGCGAAGTGGGTGGCCTGGGTCTGCCTGCGGCTGTTGGTGGCGGCGCTGGCACTGCCTCGCTTTCGGGATTGGTTTTATCCTGTGCACTCATTTTTGTTGAGAATTATGTGGCTGGTATTGCATTAGCTATTACAGTTTGCTGCAGTTAGCAACTGGCCGCTTGTTTGGGTCAACCGTTTCCAAGGCGATGCCAAAACCAATACGGGGCTGCCACTGCGCAGAAAGTAGCCATAAGGGTAGCAGAAAGTCCGTTGGTGTTTGAAATATCAGCACTATAATTATAAGACTACAAATTTATTTAAATCATTGCTCAGCAGGTTTTTCCTAACCATTCAAAAGTGCTTACAATATATTAAACAACTCAAATGCCGCAGCATCATGAATCCAATTTGCAGGCTTGCTATTGATCAGCCCGAGTGCCAGCAATGGATGGATGATGTGTTCAAAACATGCGGTGAGATCTTCAGCAGGGAAATGGTTGAATCCGCCTGGTGGCAGGACGAAACACCCGCCGTATACAAGGCGGACTTGCAAGCCATGACCGCCTATGATTGTCACAAGCTGAAGCGTGATCTGCCCAGAGAAGTGGCGGCCACAGAGTCCGAACCATCGCCTGACGAAGCCTTTCTTTGGTGGCACAAGGTGCTGCTGGTTGTGGCCTATTTTGTGGTCTTTGGGGCGTTCATGTTGCTGTATCGATGGGTCGATGCCAAATGCCGACATGTGAAGATTGATGAGGAACTAGAAGCTATCGAACCGGAGGAGGCCCCGGAATCGGAGCCTGAGGAATCACCAAAGCAGAAGAAAAAGAAGAGGACGGCCAAGAGTTGGTTGCGACGCCAGTGTCGCCACATGTTTGTCCACAGCGAGGCGGAGTTGCGGCGCCAGAAGGCCAAGCGGGAGAAGGAGGAAAAGGTGCACGAGGAGCACACACAGCGCAAAATCGAGAAGTGGACACATGCCCGTGAGCGGGAGGAGCAGAAAAGGCGGGACAGGGAGGAAAGAAAGAGAAGCACCAGAGTCCCGAAGGCCTCAAGCCTTGGATCTCTTTAATCTGTGGCCCAAAATACAATCGTTTATATTTTCCCATGGCCAGACTCTTTTTATTCGCGCTAAAGTCACACATCCTCCAAATCATCCATGGAAGGATGCGCCATGTGGCACAAGTCCGACTCATCCGCAAAGCTTGCTGATTGCCATCTCCTCCAACTCGTCCTCATCCCCGGATCAGTTTTGGCTCTCTCTAACACCCTTGGGTTTAGCCTTTTGGCCAGGACCTGGCAGCAGCAGTGTGTGGGGTTAATAGATAGAAAAAGATGGGTTTATCCTTACATTAGTAGGCCCGGCTCTGGAGTTTCTTCATCTGCTCCATTCGTAGGAGTAGGCGCTCCCAGCGCTCGCGCTTTATGCTAATCAGGCGCCTCATTTTGGTCACTCACACAACTTATGACTAAAAATAATAACAACTGAAGGGAATACTTGATCAACACATATTTACCTATAAATGGCTGTGAGTGTGCACACACTGTGTCAATTAAAGTGTGGCTTATTAACTTTTTCTCACTAAAAACCATTCTATTAAAGTCGTAGATCCTGCTTAGCGGATATAATTTATTAATGAATGAAGTCTGCTAATTTGTTAATCAGTTCAACTAATTAAGTTAGATCGATTAAACTTCCTGTCGATACCTGTCGATAACAAATTAAATTTCGATTTACTAACCTCAAACCTCGCTAACTAATTGTCTGGATAGTTTTGGTTCGTGCTCTAGGGTAGCGTATAGGGTATATCCATAAATTCTACTAGGTTAATGAAACTATTATTTACTATTATTATTCATATTAAAACATTCGATAAAAATTACGATTTGCGCTGTCAAATAAGCACAACTTTACAACACTTAAAGCCCGGCAGCAGGTTTTGACAGGTCCATTTCCGGCAGCTGGACTCGTTCTTTTTCCCTGGCTTTGCGTACGTGCGGTCGAATTTTTTGTTGCTCGCGTGTAAGCTTAAATGCTTGCTAAATATGTGGCTGTAAGTATAGAATTATAGACAGATATAGAATACATTAAACTGCTAACAGGATGGCAGATAAAAGTTTTAGAATTCCTTAAGCTGAGCGCTTGCGCGGCTCCCCCCGCCATTTCATGCGAATTTCCCATGAAACATGTGTTTTTCTTTAAACACAAATTAAATATTTTTCAGCGAAATATTAGCACAATACAAAACAGGTGCTCAAAATAGCAATATTTTAAACAAAACTATGCACTTTACATTGAGGATTTCTAAATGCCGAGTGGGTTAAAGTCGGATTGGAGGTTAGAACCGTTCACCAACGTTAAGTTGGGTTTGGCTTTCGATCAGTAGCAAACGCATGCTAGCAGTGGTATTTCGTTCGAAATATTATCAAAATACAAGAAATAAATCATTTCTAAACCACCAACATTTCTATAACAATTAATAAATACAAAATGGACTAAAAGTATAAATGGAGGGTAGAACCGTTCAGAGCATGCCAAATTGTGTTTTAAGTCGGACCAGTGCTATTCCCTTGTGTGCCTCTGTTTACCAGGTGGAATATGCATTCCAGTTGGTTACCAGTGTGGCTGTGCAAAGCGTCATATTTGAACCCGTTTGGCATGTTTCACACATGGCAACTTTGCTCGAACATCATCTGCTAGAAAATAAAAATGTGACAAGTGCTTTTGTAGCGTAAGAAAAACCTATTCGATCCAGGTTTCAAGTTTGTCACCGCAACTCGTATGATATTTTGCTCTAAAGTAAACACCAATAAAAATTAAGATGATTTATTATAGAAGTCTAGGAATGTTTTTTGAAATCATAATATCCCCTATGGCCGCAGAGTAAAATAGATAGTGCAAGAGTACGCCACAAGTAATAATTGATTGAAAGGAATTATTCCTCCTCCTTTTTTTATTTTCTGCCAGCTTGGGTTTGTGAAACTTAAATAAAGCTTAAATAAAACTCCAAAAACTACATTTATGGGATATATTTTGATTTTAATTCATTGTCGTGCTTTAAGGCATCCGTTGGTGTTCGTTGGCCTTAGATCAAGTTACTATCAGTTGTCATCGAAACGCTGAAGAATTAGGTTAAGGACCCACACATTCACTTTGCTTACAGATCAGGGCAGCGAGACCCTTAATTTATTTTTGTAACTGCTCTGGCCTGTTAACTTAGCTTGAAAACACACACGTATCCAAGAGAAAGAACTTTAAAATATAATTAAAGAAACAATTCAACAACAAATTAATATTAATGCTAATTGAGTTTTCAACAGGCTTATGTTATTTTCCAATTCATAAAGCTGTTGTTAATCATACAGCAAGTAATGAGCAGTCGACAAAGGAGTTTATGAAAATAAAATAATACAAATATTTGAGATTTCAGTTTTAGTCTTGTTTATCATTCATTCTTGATAGCCACGGATGGGAGTAACTTTTGTATCAAGAGTTGTGATTGATTGTCAAAAAGTAACCCAGTTTACAGTTTGATAGGGCGGTTTTTTAGCCTTGCTCGGAAAATGAATTATTATATTAGAATAATAGAATTTTTTTTTTTTGTAATTTAATCGCAAGAGCGAAATTGGTTGGTCGCAGACGATGAGTCCAATTCATTAGTCTCTTGTGAGCCAGCAAATATGTGATCAATCGAAAAAGAAAAATAAAGTTTTCTCTAGATATTAACAGTGGGCAACCTTTGTACACATCGGAATTGATACGCGTTCGCTCTTAGTTTATATATTGCATACTCATGACTTTTGACAGGTGAGGTATGCATGATACGTTTATCCTCATGCATACCCTGCGTGTCTTACCTCAAGAATGTGAATAATCGACGAATGCCCAAGTGAGAAATCGAATATTGTGTCAAGTTTGTTACCTGGTTGGATTTGTGAAACGTCGCCATTTTTTGCAAACCCGTATCACACTTCATACTTGGCAACTTTGCTTGAAAAATTATTATTAATATTATTATTAGACAATTTTAATGCAATTATTGCTATTTAGTTATCAATCAATTCATGTTATTTTCAAATTGATGAATTTTTCGATGACTACACAGCAAGATGCGACAAGGACATTTATGAACGATTTGGTGGTAACCCTTTTCAATTCGGATCAGAGCTCTGTATCTTTCAACTTTGATTGTATTGAAGGAAGTGTTCAAGAAATTCAATTAAGGTGATAAATACCATGGCATTCATATCAAATTCATGTTCATGACCTAAGCCTCGAATATCACGTATGTGTGACTTGTGTATCCACATACAGGGCTTTCGTGGCTAAGATCAAGATGTGACTGATCGTCAAGGAGGTCCCCCCCAAGTGTCCAGTTGGTTAACATGGTGGATTTACAAAACGTTGCCCTTTTATTTCTACGCGTATTGAAAATTCACTGTGCCAACTTAGCTGGAATGTCACCTGCGCTTAAAGCAGTTAGAAAATAAATTGTGTATACATGAATTGTATAATTCTCCAGATTATGTGTTTTAATTTAAGATTTGTTGTACCCAAAGATGAGAACACTACTGGTACATCGTCAACAAAGAGATGGGAAATCCTACTTGAGTTAGAATCATTATTTATTTTACTTGCATCACAATTAATATTGCTCTCTTAGAATTTAGTATGTTAAATGATATAATAAGCGACTGCTGACACGCTTTACAAAAGAAACTTCCCGTCCCTTGTTCATCCTACAAACAACTTTCCTAAGCGACTAGAGAGATGCGAATAGCTGGGCTCTTATTTTGGTAACAAATTAAACAACAACAAATAAATAAATTCACCATTTTCGACCAATACATGCCACTAAAAGTGTGTGTACTAAAAAGTTATTATTTTAAATTAGCTTATGCCAAAATATTTGTGTATGCCTCTCAGACGAGTAAAAATCGTTTTGAAAGTCACGTTACATGATTGCATACAGCGCCTAATCGTCTAATCGTAACAATTTGTATATAAAATATCATCTTTGTATATATACGTATGCATATACATACATATGTATGTAATGTATCAATGATAAAATGTATTGAGAATGTCTTTTGTCATTTAGAAACTGGGTATAAAAGTCATTTGATCTGTGTGTTTAAGCTTATCCATAAGTGAGTGTTATTATGTTTTATGTACTTTATGTCTTTTTGTAAAGTTATCAAAAGCGTTTCTTTCATTTCATTATATAAGTAAGGCTCTCACTCTTAAATGAGATCAATGAATGTGTTTATTTATGCGCTCTCTAACGACTACTGCAAAGTTTTTTCTTTCTGTTCAAAGGCTACAACTATTTGGTACGCAACTAAAAAACTGCAATTTGTTCAGTTAACTTAAATGTACATATATGCAATCTGTTAACAGTTTAAAGCTACTTTGTTGTGCAAATATAACATTTTGTCTGAAATATAAGGCTGCTTTTGGTCCAGGATTTCCTATATATACAGTCGTTGTGGGCAGCAAAGCCAAGCCAAGCCCTATGTAAGTTTCTTGGCCCATTTCAAGTCATCATCGCGTGGCTTAAGGCCCGTACAATGCTCAATAACCAGTTCAAAAGTTGACCAGAATCTGAGGGAACCAAAAATAGTAAAATAAAACATTTGCACATGAGAAAAAAAGAAATTGGAAATTGCACACAAACCTTATGCGCTCCAGCGGCCAATTCAACCAGCCTGTGGTTATACAAAAGTACGTCTCATGTGGAGCCACATGGTGGATGCGATGGTGCTTCCTTGGCAGAATAATGTGACAGCTTTGAAGCAACAGCACCCATCGAGGCAGACCCCAGTACGTATGCGACCATTTGTGAATCTAAAAAAATGTATAAATTCGGATTATTTTCCATGAACCAATAAAAAATACTATAGATATTGTGGATTTGATGCTCGCCTGATTGGTCATGGCCACAAATATGGAGCAGAGGAATACATAGGCTATCCAGCCAAAATGTGCCTGAATCTCGCTGGGCGAACGAATGTAGAAATAGTGCGCCAAATAGCCGAGGATGGGTATGCCCACCATAAAGTTGTCGCCATTCGTTTCAATGAAGTCGTGACGCGTTATAGATGTGGGATCCAGGTGATGCTCGCGAAACGGACGCAGGAAATTCTAAAACAAAAAAAATATATTGTTTACAGCATAATTAAACGATGAATGCAGTGGCATACCCTGCCAATCAGTGGCAAGTCCACAGAGCCCCAGGTATCTGCTGCCCAGTGTACCAAACCAGAGGCAAAGTCCGCTGTTATAATGCCACACAATGCGGACACAATGGCCACACTGATCCTCTCCAGTCGCAAGTGCCGGACAATCAGTATCAGATTGATGATCATGAGGCCTATGCAGGTGTACACGCAAATGATTTCCTGTGCCCGCTTGCCTAAGGTAAGAAATTGCAGATTGTGTACAATGTTATTAAAATATTATTCAATTTGTTCATTCTTACAGCTACATATTTAGAGCCCATCCTCACCTGGACTGTACAAAGAGGCCAGCTCCTGGGCGCCCTTGTTCTGTGGTCCCCAGCGTGGTGCTGCCGAGGTTGATGGAACTGCTGTCACAGTGTTCGTCTTGAGTGCCGCTTCCTGCCTCTGATCCGATTCTTGATCCTTGGTTGTGGCTGGCGCGGAATTGCCATTTGGATCATCCTCGTACATGGAGTTGGCCAGAATTTCCGTGTCGCTCTTGCCCGCCATCGTCTGCGACGAGAAAGATTGGTTGCTTAACTTTGGAGCGAAACAACTTGAAGGCCTTGAAGGACTGTCCCTGACTAATGAGTCGTAGCTACGTGGTGTCTCTGGATTCAATGTCAGGCCATGTGAAGCCCAACAGATGGATCCTACCGAATCGAAGCCACCTTTTTCCCCCATGCATTATTTACAATTTGTATGGAAAGAAAATGGGAAAGTAATCTAACCAGGTGGGCGAGGATTATACACAATACTGTTTCTTAAAAACTTTTGATATTGCAGGGAGCAGCAGTATTTCCTTCCCGAGGGTGTCAACGAATGACCTCTGCACACAGCACATTGCGGCGTTGATGTCATTAGAAGCTCTGTCCTCGCAACTGCACTGGGTCCCTCACAACCGTCTGCACAGACGGTAATACCTGCCACCGAATGGGGCGACGTGTCACGCAATATTTTTGGGCTTACGGCAGGTCCCGGGTCCCATGGGTGAATGTAACGGAACGGAGAACCCACTCGAATGAGTTGTCAGACAGTCAGTGGCGGAGGCGCGCCGCAGCTCCAAAGGTGCCTTAATTAGGCAAATTGGTATTTAAATTGTTGTGAACGCTGTCTATCCTGTCCTATGCTTTGAGTTGGGTTTGGTTTGGTTTGGTTTGGGACTCCAAAACGATTGTATTTTTAGCAGGCTATTTTTTTCTTTGTTATACAATTCTTTATGTGATCCTACAAAAGGTGTTTTTCCGCCCTACGACAAAAGACAGAACGCATAAAACGAAAGATGGACATTATCGATGTTTAGTCTTACAAATGATTGTATTTTGAAGATTTAAGAACTTTGTTTTGTAATTAAAAGGGAATTTATTTTGTAGACATTCCACCAAAAATACTGTAGCTAATCTTTACCAGCAAAGGCAACTAATTCCTCGAACTTTATCAGTGAAATTATCAATAGTTTCCAGTTTACGATTGGCAGAACCAAACAATAAAACTTGCACAACTATAGAGCCTTGAAAAGCAACAAATAGTTCCACAACTTATGCCCAAATTAAAGCACATATTTTATTAATTAAAAGACATATAAAATGCATAAGGAAGCTTGATAAATACATGCAAAATTCATAAAATAAATATAATTAATGTTAATTGGGTCATTTATAACAGGGAAATCTATAAGAGAAAACTATACTCGAATGGTGTTCGAACCCTGGCCATTGGGAAATGGAGGAATGTCGTGTCCCACGTTTGGAAAAAACCCATTAATCAAAACTGGCAACAACTTATTGATAAAGCAGCCCACCAGCTGCTACACTGACCTGACCCGTGCGCGACCCCCCTACGAGTGTAAGAAACTTCACGGGAAATTGACAGACTGGCGGCGGCGGCACACGCGTGGGGCATTCACAAATATTTCCAAAGCCCCCCGAGAGATAGAAACACGAAGGACATGAAAAGCAAAGTTCTATAATCTGGGTAGTGACTGAAGCCCTGTGGGGCCATGAGCAAACATTTCCTTTTGACGTGCAACAGAGAGCAGCGAGCAGGATAAACAAAAAAAGGAAATGAAGAAACACCAGTAGAGCGCTGATTCAAATTTCACAAAAAAAGAAATGCCAAGTGCTGGAGGAATGGGAAGACCCTATAGAACCCTACCCTCTCGCGGAAGTAAAATGGGAAACCGAAATGTTGTAAGTATGTAAAAAAGGCGACAACAAAATTATTTGGCGTCGACTCTAGTGACGCCTTCGCTGGGTTCTTGGTTACCCAGTAATGGAGGAGTATATAAAGAATACTGTGGGGCAGACTACACTCTAATAAGGATATTTTTCAGCCTTGGAGAACTATAAACACCATTCTGATGGAGCCTTTAATATCATTTCAATTTTAATTCCACTTTAACTTGAACTTTAGCGTCTATCTGCACTCAAGGGGCATATAACTATCTTGATCTGCCCCAATAAACCCCATTGGACTATCTTAATCTTTTAATACAATTATTAGGGGAAATTATTGCACGTTAATCTTGCTAAAACAATAATCAAGACGTCAGTTAACAACCCTTTAGTTACATTTAAAGCCACCAAGATGCCCCACGAAGTACTCTCCTAGTCTATCCAATCATCCCACATAATATGTTTGTTTGCTTGTGAAAGGCATAAAAATACCAAGGGGGACGCCGCACAGCACCGCACACAGCCAACAGGTATTAATTTGGCACAATGTAACCACGATTTTGGTCTGTGGCGCCGAAGGAAAATAACAATCTATTACACGAAATGCACGAAAGGGCACTCCAATCCAACAACTGCGAGGTGTCTCGGGTTGGTGCGGTGCCGACGCCACCCTGTTTTTGTCAGCCCGCCTGCTTTTTTGGGTTGACCGCCGCACACTCGCTCTCTCATTCAAACTTGCGGTTCACACAGCGGTATTTATAGCACTATTATTTTGGTTGCGTTGCCCTTTTTTTCTGTTTGCTGCTATTCTGTTTTTGCAATTGATAAGAAATGGTAGTGTGGCGGCGGCTGCGGCGGCGGCGGCTTGCATACTGCACGGCCATTACGGAGGGGTCTCGTCTCGCGTCGTCACTCTATTTATAAAGGCAAGCAAAAGCAAAGCTCTGCCCGCTCTCACCTGACTCACCGTTATGTTACTGGGATTTGTTTGGTTAGCTTCCACTAGTGCTAGCTCTAGTTGGCTCTCGGATACTACTTATGTAGATGTGCTGGTTGGTCCTAATTTTTACTGGGAAACAATTAAAATCAAAATGACCGTCTGCTCCGATATTGATTAAAACAAACAACAAATTTATGCATGCACGCAAGCAAAACTACTGGTGGGTATTACTACCAAGTATTGGGATGGATTACGGCGGCCAACGGAACGTCAACGCCTGACGCTTGTGTCGTATGCCGCCACGGCAAATACCAAATAAATGCTGGGTAGTACGAGGTTCCTTTATTGTACACGTGATTTAGGCCTGCCTGCCTGCCCCACCATACCACACCACACAACACAACAACTACAGCAACACCACGCACTGGCAACGGCGACAACGACGACACGACACTCCGTTTCCGCTTGCAGTCAACGCTACTTTGCACCAGTAAAATCCGAAAGAAACTAAAACTAAAACGGTCACTGCCGCCGTTTAGCTCTTCATTCATGCCACATTTACCGTACGTGTGTGTTCGCCTTTGTGACGTACATGATGACCATTATGTTACTCACGTTTTTAAACACAGTATCAGCGACTTTGTACCACCTATATTCGTGTTTGATTAATTTTATGACAATAATTTAGAAATGACATCTAAATACAATATGTACAACAACTTTTAACTCTCGCGCCACCGGACAGTATCCACAGGGATGGAGACGGTCCTATGTCGATATTTTTAGTGCTGTCAACTTGCTTTGGGAAATTCATCTTGGGGATATTTGATTTCCGATCATGGACGGGAACGCTATTGACGACTAGTGGTTATTTAGCTGGAGCTGCCAATAAAGGATATTATATTCCGCGGTGTAATGATGCCATTTCCCCTATTCAAAAAGATTGGTCTTGAGTGGGTTAAGTCCGTATTTCTCTTGTATATTTCGGTATATTTTTTTGCAGGGACAGTCACACTGCTTGTTACGTCTTGGAAACATTCAACTGCGTTTTTATTAATTTTATAAATTACTAAATAAAAATGCTGCCCATTGCAAGAGGCATATACAATGGCTTGGCTAGCATAACGCGCAGCAGCCGAGGAGCTGCTTTGCATACAGCCAGCGCCTTCAGAAGCAAGGCAGAAACAGCAGCAGAAACCGAAAACGAAGCAGAGGCTGCCGACGGCGAGGAGGCGCCTAAGAGTTCAGCCCCGGACCCAAAAGATCGCACCCAAGTGATTCCCGTGGAGACGTCAATGCGTTATCTGAAGAGTGCCGCCTATAAGAAGACCTATGGCGAGGACTACGTGTGGACTCAATACCGGTAAGAAGGCTCTTGAGATGCTGGCAAAGATTACGCTGAGTTTTAAATGTCCTCACTCCCTTAGGCGCAACCACAAGGGCATGTATGCGCCGCGAAAGACACGCAAGACTTGCATTCGCCAGGGCAAGATCTCCACCGGCAATCCCTGTCCAATTTGCCGGGATGAGTATCTGGTGCTGGACTATCGCAATACGGAACTGCTGGAGCAGTTCATATCGCCGCACAGCGGAGATGTGCTCAGCTACTCGCAGACGGGTCTCTGCCAGAAGAGTCATTTGCGGTTGAGGGTGGCAGTGGAGCAGGCACGCGATTCTGGCCTTATTACCTACGATGTACCATTCAGAGAGTACGACTACAACGAGTACTATGGCCAGCAGAAGTCTTAATGTTAGTTAATCATGTTTAATAAACAATTGTTGAGAGATATAATTATTTTAAGAGTCTTCATGTGCAGGTTCCACTGTTATTTTTTGAGGTTATGTAAAGCAGCAGCTGTTTCTGTATTTATTCATTGTTTGTTTTTATTCCGGCATGTCGCGCGATTGCATATTCTTGGTCGTTGGCGGCGGCATTGCCGGCGTTAGCTGTGCCGAAACACTGGCCATTTGCTGCCCTTTGTCCTCAATTTTGATGCTCACCGAATCCAGCATTGTGAAGAGTGTGACCAATCTTGTGCCCGTCGCCCGTTATCTGCACCGCTTCGATGTGCGGGAGAAGGATGTGAACGAATTGGGCGCCAGCATAAACACAATTGTGGACCAACTGGAGTACGTCAACAGCCGGGAGCACTGGGCACGCACGAAGAAGGGTTTAATCCTAAAGTATCGCTACATCTGCGTCTGCACCGGCGGAGCACCAAAGTTGTTCAGCAACGGCCAGGCTGAGTCACGCATAATTGGCATTCGCGATACGGACTCCGTGCTAGAACTGCAGCGGCGACTGCTCACAGCCAAGGATGTCTTGATTTTAGGCAATGGCGGCATCGCCAGTGAGCTTGCCTATGAGCTAAAGGATATAAATGTCCACTGGGTGGTGAAAGACTCCCACATATCCGCAACTTTTGTGGATCCAGGCGCTGCCGAGTTCTTTCAGCTGGCCAGAAGCGAGCTGGATGTGCCAACAGTCGCGGTGACTGCCATTAAACGGATGCGCTATGGCGAGGTCACGCCCCCAGAGGAGAAGCAGAGCAAACAGGGCGCCGCCTTGGGCCCAGACTGGCACAGCAACTTCGATTTGAGTGGCTGTTCCACACATGCCGGCAAACTCCTGCCTAAAATTTACTACAAATCGCATATAGTGGATTACCACGTACTACCAGAGCAGGGACGTCTTAGTATAAAGCTTGGACATGAGAATGGTGACCAGGAGCAGCTGACTTGTGATTTTATTGTGTCTGCAACAGGTGTCGAGCCACGGCATGAGTTTTCCACAGATTTCCCGCCAAACTTCGCAGACGATGGCGGACTTTCTGTGGATGAAATGATGAGAACCAATTTGCCAGATGTCTATGCGGCTGGGGATGTTTGCTCCGCTGCGTGGGAGCCTGCTCCACACTGGTTTCAAATGCGCCTGTGGACACAGGCCCGGCAAATGGGATCCATGGCGGGACGCAGCATGGCCGCAGCCTGCGAGGGAGAGACCGTTTATCAGGACTTTTGTTTTGAGCTCTTCGGCCATGTGACGCAGCTGTTTGGCTTCCCTGTTGTGCTCCTCGGACGCTTCAATGGTCAGGGTCTGGAGCGTGACTATGAGCTGCTGGTGCGCTGCACCCGCAACAAGGAATACATTAAGTTTGTGCTGCAAAATGGCAGACTACGCGGTGCGATACTGATTGGCGACACTGATCTAGCGGAGACATGCGAGAATCTTATACTAAATGGCATCGATCTGGAGCCGTATGGCGATGATATACTCAATCCAGACATTGACATTGAGGACTATTTTGATTAATTTATTGCTACAGTATTAAAGAACACATTCATCTTAAATCTAAACTAAACTTAACTCTAGGAGTGGCTGCGGGTGTGCCTGGACTTGGTTTGCTTGTGCCTGTGTCATTTGAGTTTTCCCTCGTTGCCCACGTACTTGATCTCATCGAAGGCCTTTCGCGCCTTTTTCAGCTCCTCGTTCATCGTCAGCAAATCCTTGACCCTGGCGTATTTGCGCTGATCCTTGCGCACCAGAAATATGATATCCTCCACTTGCACACGACCTGTCCGCCCAATCTCCATGGCACGATGTGTCGTCTCTGCAATATATTCTATGACCAGATCTTCGAGCAAGTCCACTGTCTCGGTATAGGGATTTTTATCATCACCAAAGCCAAACATCATGCAGCGCAGCTCCTGCATGATAATCACAATAATTATAGGAATTGCATTTAGTTAATTCAACAAACTTTGCTAAAGAGGCGCTTCCTTCCAGAATTTGTGCTCGATGCCACCAATTGCTCGTCATCGGCGTCGTCCTCAAAGTTGAACTTAAACAAGACAAAAGAGTGAGTTTACAAATGGAAATGATGAGTCAACCACTTTGCTTACGTCTCCGCCCTCGAAATTCTCTTCAGGCATGCTGTTTGAGGCCATTTTGGCTTGTTTTCATTAAATTTAAAGTCTTTTGTTGTTTTTACATAGGAGCCCAGTGGTGGTAAAATCGTCAGTGTTTCAGTGACGTTTTCTTCGATTTTCGGAATATTTCAACCCTGTCCCCCCCATCGTGTGAATTATCAACCACTGGCAAAATCAAAAAAAAAAACATATGTTGCTTAAAGTGACATATGGAGAGTTAAATTGTAATTTTATTTAAGATCAACACACAATCAAACAATCAAAATATTGTTTCACCACCTGTGTAGTCAATCACGCCAATAGAAGAGATGTACGCGATAGATCGATACCCTTTAAGCGATGATAAAAACACGATATACAAATCAAACAGCTGTCCCGACGGTTAAAAACAATTTCATTTGTTATTGTTCTCGCCGCCAACGGTTGTGTCGCGCGCTATAATTTTTCAAGTTCAAATTTTTTTTTTCGCGTTACTCCGCATTAGCATACATTTTGTGCGCTAGAGAAATTGATAGAGAAGGAGGTCAACGTCTAATGAACAGCATTTACCCTTCCTTATATAATTATCGAAATACACTCGCGACAGAATAAATGCAGGTCGCGAAATTATTAACAAAGCAACTCAAATGACTGCAGTGCTGCGCCATTATGCAAATTGCAGCGACAACAGCAACAAAGAACTTAAAAAGTGCCTTCATCTCGCATTGAAACAGCGACAAATCGAATTCGCAACGCGACAACTATAACAGTTTTAGAACTGAACTCTTTATATTTTAAACAAAGACGTAAATCAGCAGAAGCAGCATGGGCGGTGCTGGCGGTGGAGGGCTCGGCAGTGTGGGGGGTGGCAGTTTATTGGACATTTATGCCATGGCCTGGGAGCATCTGAGACCCGGAAGTTCGCCCGTTGATTGGTGTGAGGGCAATTATTTAATATCATCGAATATTGCCGAGTTTGTGAATACGGTGCGTATAAGCAATTTATTGTTGTTTAAATATATTATAGAACAAATATTTTGTAAATATATTTATGTGGGTGTCTGTGTTTTTGTCCTACTTATTGCGTTGTGTTCTTGCAGAGAGGGTAGTGGGGCTTTGAGAAGTTGCTTGAGAGTATTAATGATTCTTCGCTAAGAGATCTCCCTTTAATAGTAAACAGTGTTTGAAAAACCGGTCTTTGTGTTCGGAACACCAGTCTCATAGGTAGATACATAATTCATATCAATGAGAGGAAAGGGTATCAAAGACTTCGGCACCTGCGTCTAGCCCTTTTCTCGCTGTCTTTGGTTTTTACTGTAACAAAAGGCAGCTGCTATTTTCCTCTCGCACTTAAACCACACACACACGCAGGCACGCTCAAACACGCGCTGTGACAAGGCCTTGACCTTTTTCCTCAGGCCAGAGCGAGACCACATGTAATGCAAATGAAATGGATGCTGTTAGCCACGCTTTGTCTTGGACGAAGAAAGAGGATGGAGGCAGGTGTCGCTGCGATGCATGCATGTGCATGCAAAATATGAATCTTTCGTGTTCCCAGTTTCATTTTCACTGAATTTGATTGAAAGTGCAATTAAGAAAACGCTGCTGATCTATTTTAATCTTTGGGGGTTAACAAGCATTGAGTGTAAAGTCCAACCAAAACATTCTTTGACACAAATATCAGTTTTTTCTTGTACTATAATAATTCCACATTCAAACAAATGTAAGCGGAAGTGCAAATGGGAACAAGGCTATCTGTTTGACACGCTTTGGCAGTCGGCGGTTGTGTGGGGTTTTGTATAGAGCCAAGTTTTTCCTTATGCACAAGTGGCTTTTCTTTTTTTTTTCCCCAACTAAATCGCAATTTCGCAATGCGACAATTTTCTCACTCTTATCACCTCAAGGGGTGGGTACGGCGTCCAACGGGGTACTGCTTACAGTCAAACATTTATGGGTTACATTTTCCATTCAACTACGCACTGCTGAAGTGCGTCTTCCCTTTATATGATGTACATGCATTAATATGTACATATTTGATAGGGGGATGGTAACGTAAGCACTTTCATTATGTTATCAAGAAATAATCAGCCCATAGAGAGAGCAAAGAAGAACCTATGACGCCATAAAGTCCACTCGAAAGGTATATTTGCCCTCAATATCGCACCTCTAAATGCAAATTAAATAATTTCCAGCTCAAGACTGTTCTGTTCCTAGAAATATTTATACAATTCTCGCTATGTTTAAAAAAACGTTGACCCCCAAAAGGTTATCAGTCCAAAGCCACTCTCTACGATTAGAAGTAGACCCCACTTAATGGACAAATACTACTCATAATATTGTGTCCCAGTGGTCATACATTATTATCAACACTTCTTTGTGTACACGCCGAATAAGTAGAGGAAACACAAAACTTTCTGGATAATAATGTGCCATAGAACACCAAAGGGAATTAATGATGATATGATTGGGTATTGGGAGCGAGCCTTCCGTTTGCGGAGAACCCACAGACCACATTCGGTTGGTCATGTAATTGATTTTCGTTGTCGTGAGTCAGGGCTAATGGGGATTGTGTGCAACTGTTGTTTAAAACGCATTTTGGCTTTGTTTAAATGGAGTTGCTCAAGTTAAGTGAATGACCCTGCCTGACTGCACTTCACAACAAAAGCAGACGGCAGTGGCCTTATATTTTTTGATGAAATCACAAAGTCAAGAGCTGTAATAAAATGTATATACATATACTCGTATCTAGACTCTCCCCTTTTCTAGTCCCCATTTCGCCATCAATTATTTCCAAAGAACATGAATATGTTAATGGTTTCCCCCACATAGATATTGTAGATGTGATAATTGCTACAGTTCTCGCTTTGTTGCCCACACAAAATAATTATTAATTGCATTTCATTCAATTTACACTGTAAATTACGTGACAAACAGAATGACACGTACGATATGGAGATAAAAAGACAAAGGAAGAAAGGGTTTCCACAGAACTTTGGACTCAAAGTTGAGCATGAAAGGAACTTTGAACCGAAACGGCATGTAAAAATCCTACGTTATTCAGTGTTTAAAACGGTCTTTCTGTTCCCTAAAATATCGAACTTTATCTAAAATTTATTCTCATTTCTTTTCCATCCACAGTTTAGCAATTTCTTATTTATACTACTGCCCCCCGTGCTAATGATGTTGTTCAAGGAGTACGGACGCTTTGTAACCCCTGGCATACATGTCATTTGGCTGCTACTAATCGTCGTGGGACTTAGTTCAATGTACTTTCATGCCACTTTAAGTTTGATTGGCCAACTGCTCGATGAACTGGCCATACTCTGGGTCTTCATGGCGGCCTTCTCGCTGTTCTATCCCAAGCGCTACTATCCCAAGTTTGTCAAAAACGATCGGTAAGTGTTTTAAACCAAAAAAAGAACAGACAAATTTACTATCTCAGGCAACGACCTAACTTTGTTTTTATCTTTTAGGAAAACCTTTAGCTGGCTCATGCTGCTGTCGGCGATTGCGGCCACTGCACTATCGTGGTGGAAGCCTGTCGTTAATGCCTTTGTACTTATGTTCATGGGTGTGCCGACCATGCTAATGCTCTACAGAGAGCTTCAGAGGTAACCACCAAATGTTCAAGCTCTGACCCGCAACGAACCCGCAACGCACCAACAAACCATCCATTTATCATCAGTCATCCACCTTATCGGTGATAGTGGCTGTGTGATATCTCCCCACCTGGGAACAGGTGTACGCGTATGCCTACGAATCGCCTGTTTCCCCCCAGAATTGATTGTGAAATTATTTCAACCTTATCGTAATGTTTATTCAATTTTTGTCATACATTTTCTGTGTGTCAAAGATCAAGCGGAAACGGTGTTTCCCTGATTTATGTGCAAGGTGTTTCCCTGTTTCCTGAATGGAATGAAGGTTTGGCCGGAATATGTTTCCCTTCTTGCTCCACAGAAAGCTGTTTTCCCTTTGTCTCTATGGAAAGGTGTTTCCCTGCCCACTCCGTGGAAAATACTCGTACCTTTAATCAATCATTATAATGATTTAAAGTTTAACACTCGACTCTTGAGTGTCATTTAGATAAGCCTGAAGTTGGCCCACTTAAGGCCTCACTGAAGGGTTTCACAGTGGAAGATTGACTACTGCTTGAGCGATGGCCATAAAAGTTGGATGGGTCTGTTGGTTAGACTCCTAGAGATAGGCTACTGTTTTCTGGGTAGGGGTAGGGTAACGTGGACCTGGACAAAAACGATCCAAAAACAGGTTGAAATACTTTTATTTTTGCATCCTAGGGGAGTTCGTTTTATTATGGCTCCATGAACAGTGTCAATATAAATAATTATGCAGATTCCAGGCTGCTCTAAGTGGTTTCAATATCAAAATGACCGAGGAGTACTGCTGCATGACGTGCCAACCCTTTTTTTCAAGAAAACATAGAGTTTAGACTATAAAATAGGTCACTAAGATTAACAATTATACAGCCTTTCTGATGGTTTTAGGTTGTTTGAATACCAAATCGATAGAGGACCGCAGTTGCATGTCTTGGAACATGTGGGATTGACCATCCTAAGCTCCTAGGACCCCTAAAAACGTAATTCTCTGTTGCTTTAAAGTTTATTTTAGCCCAGAAAAATATCCATATTGTTCGACTATTTTTCTTGGTGTTGTTGGCTTTGTTGTTCCTTTGGGAGTCCTTTTTATCGTTCTAATGCTATCCTTGCATATGCAATATTTCTTTGCAATCTTGTCATTTATGCAGTTGGAATCTCCGTTATAGGAATTCAATCTGCTCAGATCTTCCACATCCATGTGGAGTTTATGTTTGCGATGGTTCCATCGAACTGTGGCCTCAAAGCGCGGCTGATTGGGGAATGTCCAGAACTGCAAGATGTAGACAGTCTCGTCCTCTTCCAAGCTGTTGTCATCTGCAGGTTGTTCCAGCCTGCGTACTATTTTGTGCACATGCGTCAGGGTAAAGTTGTGGCATATGTGACTGAAATTTCGCTTCACCAGATGGTCGTTCATTCGCCGGACCACGGCCAAGGCAAGGGTCCGTACGAAGCCGTTTTTCTTGAGCGTCTTGGTGGCATGGCAGCAGCACCATTTCTCATCAATGCCCGCCTGCTGGCAGGCCCGATTGACGGGTAATTCGAAGAGAAGCGACTGACAGCTTGGACACGCTACCGATCTGTGTTTCATGGAGAAATCCGCCAGGGAAGTGCTCTCCAGTTGCAGCAGATGCTGGAGAGTCATGTGTAAATCGTAGCTGGAGGACAAACGATTGCGATTCCTCCTCAGATTATCCACCAAATGGGGATACTGCTGGCGGAACCAGGGCGGCACATAGATAAACATCATGGGCAATCGTTCCTCATAGTATCCGGACGCAGATTGCCTCAGGGTATTATAGCGATGGCCATGATCACTCATTAGGATCACAATTGAATGCTCAAACAGTCCCGACGCCTCGAACGAATGCAAATGCTTTAGAAAGAGCTGTTCCAAGGCGGTGGTCGCTGTGTAGTAGTCATGGGTGAAGCTGTTGCTCCACAGGAAGCCAAATATGTTGCGATTCTTTACGAATCGATCGACAAACTGCCTGCCAAAGTCCCACACATAATCGAAGCTTAAACGGCGACCCACACAGAAGGGAAAACCAAAGTTTTTGGTCACCGGAAACTTTGACTCAATGGCCACCAGAAAGGGACGCAGATAATAGTCCACTGGTTGAACTTGAAATCCCGGCAGGAGGTAGTTGAATGTGTTGATCCCCTTGCAGTCCTCGGCAAAGGCTGTCGTGTAGTTTGACCTCTTGAATCTCTTCCAAATGAAGGGCACACGGTCCAGGCAGCCAATCTTCGACACGTTGCACATCTTCGCCAGAGTATTGGGAGAGTGTCCCGACAGAACAGCCAACAGATTGGGAAATGTGTTGTCGCCCACCTTGTTGTAGCCCTGCAACTCAAACCATCCCGGTTGACTCACATATTTATAGACCAGGGGCATGGCTCGACGCAGATTCATGCGTGAAGTGGAGTCCAGACCCAGCATTAAGACACTCGGCTTGGGGTTCTGCCGTTGCTGTTGGGCATAGGCCTTCTTTTGATCCTCCTGCTGCAGATGTTCTTCAATGAATGTCAGGCCATCGGTTTGCAACAGCTTCAGCTGCTTTTTCTGGTCTTTTACATAGCATTTGGTGATCATGAAGTCTGTGTGCTTGGGCACCAAGAGATAATCTGGTAGAGGACGGCTCTTAAACTCACTGAAAGAAAGAAAAGTTAAGGAAGAGTTGGACTTGCAACTGGCCCACATTTACCTGTAGCTATTGTCGGGTTTCTCATTAATTCGATCCCTGCTAATCTTTTGATATTTGCATTCCAGTGTAGCATTACCCATTGATCCATTTAGCATACGCCTAGCCAAATTCTTGTGTAAATGAAGGCGATATTGGTTCAACTTAAAGTCAAATTCACTCGTCACCAGATCACTGTCATTGTGGCACTCCCTGTACGTACGCTTTTGAAAGTCCTTCATGGTATCGGCGGCAAATGGATTAATGTAGGGTATTTCGCAGACAGAACTCTTTACAAAGTATTTTTGCTTGAGGCATTGACCAGTTTTGAGCGAGAAACCAAGGCATAGCGTAAGAAGCAGCGTTTGAAACACTGCACACGACTGATACATGACTAGAACTAATATCTTAAATTATATTTCTGTTCCAAGAGGATACTCTTTAATGGGTCCTAGTACGCTTTAAGTGAATGATGTAATGTTTTGAGTGTGATGGAATAGCAGAAATCAATAAATTCGTTGTACTAAAGTGTTGTGATCCATAGCCTTAGCTTTAGTTATGCTTATTATGACATTTCTTATAAATTATTTATATTTAAAGGTGTTAACAGTCGCTAGGAAAAGCTGGAAGAGCAAATTATATAATTTACTTTCGTTTTTAGCACACTTAAAATTACAAACGTCAGCTAATGGCACCCTTATAATCCCAACACAACCCACCCAAAAACGAGAAGGGACGTGTGAGACGCTTCTTACGCGTCACAACGTTTATCGGCACTCACTACTACATCTGCAATTTTAAATATTTTCTTTAACTGTCATCTACATCTACAATACTTATCACACCAACACGCTCCGTTACCTCGCCGCCCTTCCCTAGACCCACACACGTGCAGACTCGCGGCAGAGGCAGAGGTGGGTTAAAAGTCGGAAAAGGCATCGGCAGGGGGAGGGCAGAGGCAGGGGCCGAGTGAAGCAGAAGCAGAGTGTGAATGAGAGAATGTAAAAAGAGCAACAAAAGCTGCGGGACAGGGTGGGTTTAGCCACTGGAAATTAATTTCTTCATTGTGGCTATAATAATGATCCAATCGGATCCCAATTTGGTGATCTGATAGATATGGCCATTTCTTACGGAATGGCGTTTTTAGTTTTCTTTTATCTTCAAAACTGTAGGTTTGGTTTGGGAGGTTTTCGCCCTTTTGCGGGGGCGGGGCTAATTTTTTAAATACACTGGTTTCAGTGTGAGCATACAGCAGTCTGGATGCAAAATTTGGTGGCTCTAGCTCTTATAGTCTCTGATAACTAGCCGACAAACAAGACGGACAGACAGACATGGCTCTATCGACTCGGCTATTGATGCTGATCAAGAAAAGATATACTTTATGGGGTCGGAATCGTTTCCTTCTGTGCGTTACATACATTCACTTTGTGCACAAATAAAATATACCCTATTTACTCTTCGAGTGCCGGGTATAATTAACAATTTCAATTACCATGAAAGGGTCTCATATCATCCACTTATCAATCAATTTTTAACCCTATTTTCACTCTCTTTATCCCCTCCAATAGAGTCAGCGATCAGCGGGTCTATCGCTTGGGCATTCGCTGCACAACCGTTTGGGCTGTAGCTGTCTTTTGCTGGATTAACGATCGCATGTTCTGCGAGGCCTGGTCTTCCATTAACTTTCCATATCTGCATGGCTTCTGGCACATTTTCATCTTTATTGCTGCCTATACGGTGTTGGTTCTGTTTGCCTACTTTTATGTGGAGTCGGAGCTGCCACAGCGACAGCCCTTGCTCAAGTACTGGCCAAAGAATGAGTTTGAATTTGGGATACCATTCATATCCATTAGGAATCCAGGTAAGACTCTACGCAGCACCATCTAAGGAGAGCAACAAGTGACAAACAGCAACAGCGACCAACCAAATGACCAAACAACCAAAACTAGAGTGGAAATACCATAACAAAAATGCTTTAAAACACTGTTTAAATAGATATAGCGCACAATTTTGAATAGTTATAGTAGCGAAAGGATGAGCAGCAGATGAGAGGTTGTGGGTTGAGAAGCAAAAAGTCTGTTAAAGCCTTAAGGTTTGTTGTGCAATCTAGGATATACACATACATACTTATGTAGGTACAGAAATAGAAACCAAAGAATTGTTGTAGAATGCAAAGACATATCCAAAACGAAATTCCGCTTAAGCCTTGTACCCAAGAAATGTTTTTAGTTTTCAGAGTCGTTTCTGTATTTAAAAACAGACTGTGATATGTTTATAAATCCATCCCAAAGACTTCCAGTTAAAGAAAAAAGGTTCCTACCCCTATGCTAATTTTGTTCCCGATATGTTGTACCTGATTTGTAGTCGTTACCTAATCCATTACTAACACTAATCCGACTAATCCGTTGTAGTACTTTGCTCAAATGAAAATTTGATTTGAAAATCGACATTTGCCCATTGCCTGATTCCCACAGATACAAAAGATTGGCTTGACTACTGCAGACTGTACTGCGTGCGGCAGGAACAGGACTACAAGCACGGATTAAACAAGATTTCAGGGGACTAGGAGGAGCTTTCTCCACAAAAGAATAGACATACTTAATGTGTACGCAAAAGTGATATAAATTAGTGTTGAAAGGAGCAATAAGGAATGCCTAAATTAAAGCCTGCTCAACACAAACAACAAGAAAAAGAAAACAATTATTAAACCATAGAAAACCAAAAACGTATCGCCTGCCATATAGAGCATTAAAAATTAAGACAATATGATGTTAATATACATAGCTAATAGTTTATATTGTTAATAAACGATTGACGTATCTCTCACAAAATATATTGCTTTAAAATTTATTGAATTCAATGCTTCCATAAATCAGTATAAAAAAGATCTATTGCTATATACTTTGTAATTCGTATAACTTGTGTAAAACTAAATGTTCTGTCTTTTTCTTTCTGTTTTTAATTAATTTTTAAGATGAGTTTTAGGTGTGTCTGTGTGTTTTTCGTGTCTTCACTGAGCATTAGGGTCCAAAATAAAATTCGTCAGGCAATAGTCTCACATACCTCTCTTCCCTTTAATCCGAATCGGATGATATATTGGTACAGGAATCATGCGCAATGCGTTTGTTTATCGGATTATAAATGCCATTGAGTGCATAGGGGCCGCGATAACTAATTACATTCTTTGGCGTCTCATGGATCTTCACCTCGTACAGCAGTTCTGGTTTCTTTAGCTGCAACCGAATGTTGTTCCAAATGTAAACGGCCAGATTCTCAGTGGTGCTGGGCTGAAAGGAGAGTAAATTATTATTTTTGGTTCTTTTGTTTATTTGTGCTAGTAATATAATTACGGTCTTGGCAAAGTATTCCACATCCTTGTCGAGATTCTTGTGATCTAGATTCTTCATGATGACCTCCTCAATGGCATCCTTCAGTTCGGTTATGTTCAGGACCATGCCAGTGCGTTGATCAATGGGTCCACGAACGGAGATTTCCACTGAAAAAGAGGGGGGCGAAGGAATTGCGTTTATTGGGGAGTAATAAGGGATTTGTCATTCAGCAAAGCCTTGCCAATTGTACGTTGCTTAAGGACGCTACCGCCGAGCGATATCTTCAATTTAAAGTCATTTTACAATAAGTTTTCTCTACCCTGTGTTCATGCATCAATTATAAATTTTATCCCAAACTAAAACTAAACCTCGATCCCCCAAACCACATTTAATCATTATCTATTGCCCGCCTCGTCTAATAATACCCATTGTTATGCCCCTCTGTGCGTTGAACTTGAATTCTGGTTGCGATAAGCGAGCTTGTCGGCCAAGGTTTTCTCTGGGTAAACATTTTTTGTGTCTCATATTACCCCACCCCGTCACTGGGTTACATATATCAGATTAAAGCCAGTTCGGTAATGCGATATCTTTGGCAATTTGCAAAAATTAATCATGCATTAAAATGCAAGCTCACCTGTGTAGTTGTGGCCATGGCCGTTTAAATTATTGCATTTGCCAAACACTTCCAGATTCTCGGCATCACTTAAATGGGGGCTGCAATATCGAAATAGAACAAAACGAACGAGTCAATAAATTGAACTAAATTGCTGCGGCAAAATATAATTGAATCAACTGAGTTGAATTGAATTGTTTCATTGTGGAGCTGGTGGGGATCGTCACCTATGCAGTCTATGACAGGCGCTAAAGGTTTCGATGCGGGTCAGGAAAGCAACAGGTTGTTGAGACATTTCTCTGGATGCGTTGATTTCAGGAACTGGCTGGCTGTCTGGCTGTGGCTGCTGCGGTTGATTAAATTGTAGGAGCGTTGTTTCTGTGGCTGCTGCACGCGTTGGGCACTGTCTTACAAATGAATGCAAAACCTGCTGCTTAAATACACGTATTTATATGGCTGGGGTGGAATAGTGGGTAAGAACGAACAGGAAATTATTAACAACAAATTCAAGTCGTAGTACAAATCAAAACACGCCCGAACTAGTTCTGGTTCTGCACACTTTCAGCTGTTGCCTCGATCAAAGTGCAATTATATTTACATGCAAAATTTAGCACGAACGATTTGACATTGACAAACTAAGGCAACGGCTAGAACAATGCACGGTTATTCAATTATTTTAAACAATTTTTACTTTTGTCTACGTATTTGGCCAGCTGTTATCGAAATTCGCGGGACCACGCGTGCGCTTTAATCGATTAATTGATTGCACGGACAAACATACCCTACATGTATAAAACATATTATTGATTCATTATTTATTTAATGCAGAGCCGTGAAAGTGTTCCAAACACCTTTTATACTCAAAATTTGACGCCCCTAAAAGTTGGCGCCCGAGGCGAGTTCAATACGAAGCTGATTTTTTGTATTCCGTCTGTATTCACTGGACCATCTCTAACGTGAGGGAACAACGCTGCCAGACCTTGTCGCCACACATGTTTCCATCAAATCAACCCTGTATTCTATCGTTTGTGTCACATCGCTAGAAATGAAAATTTATCAACAAACGACGCCGCGCTTTTATTTGAAACTTTCTGCATTTCCATTGTTTGTTAATCATAATATCGCTAAATAATTAACTAAAAGATGAGCAACAAGAGCACGCCAGTGCGGCAGCGCATCCAGCAATTCCAAACACGTGGTAGCACCGGAATGGTGCAGAAATCGACCCCGGCGTCAGATGCCAGCGGAGGACTACGGAAAAGAGTCTTAACAAAGACGCCACGGCAGAGCAGCGAGGAGCGGACGCTCCTGAATACAGCGTTCAGCAATGCCGTGAAATCACCGCTGCAGCCTAAGCTCAAACCCACAGCCTTGAATGCCTGCTATACGCCATCCTCTCTTTATAGACCCACGCCCGGGAGGATGAAAACGCCGAGTGGAAAGTGCAGCTCAAGCAAGCCCAAGGACACGATGATGGACTCCTTTCACAGCGTATCCGAGGAGAGCAACATGATTGTGGCCGTTCGTGTGCGCCCTCTGAATGCCCTGGAATGCACCCGCGGTCAGGTCACCAATGTGGTGCAGGTCCACGGCACCAGCAACGAGCTCACTGTTCAGGCAGGCAGCAGTGCCGATGCCTCTGCCGGTGTGACGCACTTCTTTAGCTACGACCAAGTGTACTACTCCTGCGATCCCGAGAAGAAGAACTATGCTGGCCAGGCGAAAGTCTTTGAGGGTACAGCCGGGCCGCTGATAGAGACCGCCTTTGACGGCTACAATGCCTGTCTGTTTGCCTATGGACAGACAGGCTCGGGCAAATCTTACAGCATGATGGGCATAGAGGCTCTCGATGATGCCGCCTTAGATGGCGGACCACCACATGACGAGGCTGGGATTATTCCCCGTTTCTGCCACGAACTATTCCGTCGGATAGAGGCCCTCAAGGCAGAGCAGCAGCTCCAGGTGGAGGTGGAAGTCAGCTATTTTGAGATCTACAACGAGAAGATTCACGATCTGTTGAGTGTGCAGCATGCGTCAGCTTCTTCGGTGGACTCGACGCCCGTGCAACAGCAGCGACCGGCTCTAAAGGTGCGAGAGCATCCCATTTTCGGGCCCTATGTGGTGGATCTGAGCGCCCACTCGGTGGACTCCTATTCTGCTCTCCGCAATTGGCTGGCGGTGGGCAATTCGCAGCGTGCCACCGCCTCCACGGCCATGAATGACAAGAGCTCGCGCTCCCACTCCATCTTTAACATTGTGCTGAACCTTACCGATCTCTCCAGCGATGATGGCCTGTCCTCGGACACTGATTCGGAGAGCGTGCCCTCGCTGCGTCAAACACGCAGGAGCAAGATCAGTCTCGTGGATCTGGCTGGCAGCGAGCGCATTAGTGTATCCGGCTCGAATGGCGAGCGCATACGCGAGGGTGTCAGCATCAACAAGAGCCTCCTGACGCTGGGCAAAGTCATTGCTGCCCTGGCAGATGGACGCAAGGCGGGCGGCGGCCACAATGGTCCCTCCACGCCCAGCACCTTTGTGCCCTATCGAGAGAGCGTGCTCACCTGGCTACTGAGGGTGAGTAGCATTGCCACACTTTTTGATTATTATTATTATTAACTTGCTATCAATTGGGGCTATCATTTTGGACTACTTTTGTCGTAAGGTTGGGGGGGGGGGCCTCATGCCTTGAAGAAATTCCTCACGTTTCCCCATAGTTTTGCTTTATCAACACTTTCGCCTGGCCCAAGGGAGGGCAGGGGACTGTTCTACAATCACTGCGATTACCCGGAAAAGTAATCAGAGCTGGTAGGGTTCCCCATTCTCTCTGCAAATCGTTGACCTGCAACCCAGAAAAACTTTCCAACCTGACATGATGTGTGTGTGTTTTCCCGACCTTTCAAATATTTACATAAACTCAACTTTATCGCCCTACAAATTTGATTTTGGGTTTCGTGATGTACATATTTGCTCTCTCGTGAGAGAGAGAGATTGTCATGAGAGATCTCTTGTATCTGGAGCTATTGTCTCTATGCAAATATGATCTCGTGATAGTCGTCTGTCGTTTTTCTTCTCTATTTGCCACACGCGCTTTTGTACCTTGCTTCCACTTTATAATGGGGCGATTAAGTTTTTGTGACATTTTAATGTTTGTTTAAAAAATGTATCCGTGTGCTAATATGTTGCAAAAATAGAGAACGATTTTACCAGAGACTTCTATGGGTAGGGGAGATGGTAGAGATAACTTATAACAAGCTACCTTTGAGATGCCATCGTGGGAGTTTTATTTGTCTGAAAAATAATGAGAGATGATTTGATGATTAAGATGATATCATATATCATATCAACAACATTAAAAATACCTTTCATATTCCATAGTTTTACCTAAACGCTATAAAGATATTTGTTTAATAAGATTCCCAAGTTTTCCCTCAATTATTCTTTAAGTTTTACGCATTTTCGCTTCATTTGCTATAAAATATTTAAACTAGATCTATCTTCTGCACCTCTTCCATAGTTTGTCCTTGCTTTAACTTCTCCTTTCATTCTATTTCCATATTTTATCATATAATTAACACACACTTTTCAAAATTTCTTTTTCCAATTCTTTATCAATATTCAAAGAGTAAGCCTCTTTATCGCGGGGGCTTTTGAGCCGAATCGTATCAAAGACCTCCCCAACGACCGTGTTCCAATCAATTGTGTGTGATTGGGGGGAGCTTCTTATCATATCTATTTATTCGTATACCTTGGCTTTTCTATTTGCTTATAACTTTTATGGTCTGATGCAAGAGAATGGAGGGGCACGTGTGTTCTAGAAAAATTCTAGTATACGAAGCCAAAGCAACAAAGAATTAGAAAGGTGTAGCTAAGGGCTTTAAATTCACTACGAAAATTAGGAATAATTTAGGACTAAGACTTATCGAATATGTTCAATAATGTAACTATAAATGTCATCGAATTAATTTTCCCTTAAGGAAAAACATTGTTCCAAAGGGTTTTCAAATTATTTTCGAATCTTTTAATAAATATTCCACTTTCTTTGCATGATCTAGTAAGATCTACCAACGTCTTTCCCCTATTAGTATATTCTCTCTTAGAGTAGATTTTATAGTTAAAAGATAAAAGCCACTCAGTCCATGGAGAACTTTTAAATGAATTTCTGGAATATCTAGAATATATTGCAACTGTGTGTAAAGCTGATATAAGTTCTATGATATAATGAGGCCATGTAATCTTAAGTTAACTTAGAGCAGTTGCGGTTATAAACCATTTTAATCATATCATATAGTTGCAAAGTGTTGTAAAAAAGTCATGGGACTAGAAGAGTTTGTTTTTATTCTGGGAGCGGCTTTCGAGAGGTTATATTACCCTTCTGTTGGATTTGGTAGATATTTATCCAAGTTTTAAGAGAAATATAAATAGTTTGAATAGAATTTTAGGCTCCCAAGTTTTTGTGCTTATAGATGGCATATAAATTTCTTAGGGGTCATTTGAGTATTTAAACGTTTCTCAAGTTCAATCCTAGGTTGAGTTAGAGAATGTATAATTACTAAAATAAGCGTTTAGCAGCTATATAATTTAGTTAAACTACAGATTTGTTGCTCTTCATCTATCATTAGCATTGAGTCTTTAGATATTAACGTTTAGTTCCATATAATGTTCAATAAAAGAATAGGCTCCATATCTCATATCCGAACCTTTCTTAACAATTTTGATAACCAAGTAGCTGCCAGATAGGAACGGAAGCTTCCCACTTAACCTTCCAAGAATAGCGACACTCCTATCTATTGGAACTTTGCACAAGACAAGATGTCGCATTTATCATTTAATATACGACGTAATTAATAATCAATTCCCATGATTCAGTATGCACAATAATTATAATGTTTGTATATGTAAATATGTATACTATTTTGTGGTGAAAGGCACTTGATTAAAAAGAATCAGAAGACAAGAGCTTGTCGAAATCAGTTGTTAAGTCAAGTGTTATTGTACCCTAGAATAAACACTAATCAATATGGAAAGTTACAGTAGTACCCGCAGTACTCCTTTTAGATAATCAGCTAGCCACTCACAGACACTCCATGGGGAGTGCAGGAAACCTTGGGGGAGCGACTTTCTCAATAGATTAATCCTCCGCGTTGTGCAATCGCCTCCAGGTGGCGCAGGTCTAGCGACCTTCCGCTCTGTCTCTCAACGATTATTCCTATATTCTTTTGTGGCTACTCCAAACGCCATATCTTTTCGAGTACTTTTCCTATCTTTTTGGTTTCAGTTAAAAATACTTTGTGGATAAAGTGTGTGTATTTCTTTTGTTTTTATTTTGTTGCTGTTCAGGGCATACTAAAATAATATAACACTTGATAAGTTATCGCGTCTTCGGAGTTGGGACAACAATAATTTCAGTTGTTGCTGTTGCTGTTGCTGCTGCTGCTGTCGCTTCCTGCCACATTTGCAGGCCGTTGGCTCGCACTTGCAAGTGCCTTTCATGCCCAATCTCTTGCCATCCTTATAAGCTGCAATAACAATTTGTAAAACAAATATATGAGTGTGAATTATTTATTAAGATAGCGTAGATATGAGTGGGTGGGGCAACACACGGCAATAAAGATTAGTCCAATTGCAAAAAGGGAGAATCTGATAAAAGGTACAGAAAGGGAAGGGAACCTTGGGTACTAAGGAGTTTGTTGGACTTGAATTTATAGTTTTTGTATGTTGGAAATGAAATAGTTCTTTGATTATGCTGCAATTAGCATTCGAAAATTGTAGTGCCCAGCAACACCAACTAGAAACTTGTTTCGCGATCGATGGGCCCTTGGGAAGATTGAAGATTAATTAGTTTGAATGTATTCTGTTTTGAAAATATGATGTTTTTCTTGCTAATGGATTTCCCACTGATAGAAGGGATTGATTCATTGAAAAATACTTGAAATTTCGAAAAAAAAAATAGGATATTTACTTTAAACATTGTTCAGTCTTTAGCCCCTTCAACAATTTTATGGAACCCCCTATTCAAAAAGAGTAAAAAAATGTTGAACTGATAACACTTTTGACTATGAGATCATTTGCGGGGAAACAAATCTTAAGGACAAGCACTCAAGATTATATTATGAATCAATTAACAAGTAAATATTGTAAATTGAGTAGAGATGTAAGCGGTAGAGTATTACATGATAGGCCTCACGCACACACTCTGAGAAATCTATGAGCTGTGGAAAACGTAATACAAGCATGTGACCACGCCCCAATTGAGTAAATGCCTTAGCACATATGTATGAGAGTGGTTTTAGACAGGTTTTTAGTTGTAAACTTGTTTGCAAATGGGAAAGTATCTTTGTAATACAAGTAAGTAATCACAGAAAATGTATTTAAGGTAATAGATGACAGATGCATATGGATATTATGGGTCAGGTAGTCTGCCTTTTATTAAGTTAGTTGGGTTTTCGGAACGATTTTAATGCGAATTTCCCGCGGGATCAGGTATAGATTGTTTCACGGAATTTTATGTGTGTTCCTTAATTAAGGACACATTAACAAAGTTAATTATTCAATGAACAATCGACAAATCGAAATTTAATGAGTTCAAGTAACTATAGGTATAGTTTTGTGGGTAATTGTGTGACATTTAATTGGCTTCTAAATTAGGTGTATGATATTGGTTTCATTTACAGTATGTTTAGGTTTTAAATTAAATATTAAATATTCAACCGGTTTTAAAAGTCTTTTTTTTTACATTTTGAGTTTCCTGCTGAAGAAGTTTTCAGTTTATTCAGCAAACGTTTCATCATTTTGGTAATTTATTTGTACAGAAAACAATTCAAGGGGAAATGTTCCAAAAGATTTCTAAAATTTTCCAAAAAAGTTGAACTTCATGTAAATATTTTTAATGTTTATCCTTCTATATTTTTGCTGCACGTTTTGTGTGTTTTGTAAATATTTTGCCCGACTTGTCTTCACATCACTGAATCAACTTTGAAACTGCACTGAGTGAACCCCAAGTTAGAAATTTGAATACGTAAATTCCCAAACCGAACCTTTGCTTGGGTTTCGAGTGCAAAAGAAACCCCTAGAAAACCGCAGTGCATGTGTGGTGAACGATTCTACGATTCCCAGGGTACAAGAATTGGTTTTATCAGGGGATGTGGGCTTCCAGAAATATCTACACAAATCCATGTGCAGTATACGTGGCAATAAAAATGTTCCTGATATTTTTGTTTTTGGTATATACTTGAAGCGTGCCACCCGGCGACTACTACGTCACTCTCGAAATATTTCTCAAAATTAGCAGCACACCCGTGGCTCCACACTTTTTGAAATAATCGTCAGCCACGTTGACTGCTCCACAAATAAATGCTAATTTGCCGACTGCTAGCTGGGTGACAATTCATCCAAAAACTCCATAATATTGTCTGAAAAGCTTTTGGTTTTAAGCACCCAAAAGTGATGGTCTAATTATTGTTGCTAATTGAACGGAAAATTAAGAAAATAAACTCATGCATGGGGAGGCGGAACGTCTGGAGCTTGTTAAGTCATCAAAAAATATGAATATGTTTATAATATTATACCAAAAACTATCGTGATTCCTAAGTACATATCAGGAACAATTTTGCATATTACAGTCGAAATAACGATTATACAGCTAAGATATCCACAAGCTATTTACGCATTTTTCAGGACATGGACACCATAAATATTCCTTACTCCATTGTTATTTATTTTCTAAAGAATTACTCAAGCTCTTATCTTCTTTTATATGCGGTATTGCATTTTTAAAGGTCTATATTTTGAGATATGTACATATACATGGACATAAAAATGCGACCCCTTTAACACGTTTTGCCTGACATAATAGCGTGTCGTTTTGTTATTGGTTCCAGTTTCCGCGCACAGCAAAAAATAATTGTAATACGAGAGCTCTTGCTTACAATAATAATACATATTTGTTCACCCAATCGCCCCCTACTGCTGTATTTTAGTTCCATTCTCCCCATTCTGGAAAAACTAGTTAACATTGAATTTAAAATGAATCAAATTCATTGCATAAATAAATAAATTGCATTTATGGCTTCCCTGGCCTGCCATGTGTTGTTTTTCTCAATGTTTACCCGCTGTACCCGCAAATGATATTCGTACGCCCCGTGTATACCATACATACTATGTATATTGTATTATTTATACTCGTATTCCAGTAGCGTGCTGTTGTGGTATTCATTAATTTGATCACCCGGTCGGGGCCTTTGGAGAAAGAGCAATTTAAATATGCAAGCAATTTTTGTGTTGTGGGCTTGTACTTGGAGTGCGGTTAGCTCTGAGCTCATCTTTTCTGTTCTGTTTGATCTAATTCAATTGAATCCACTTGAGTCGAGGCTTAGATTAATTGAGGTTCTATTTGGGGCAGATTTCTCTTCATAGAAATCCCAGGAAAACCTTCATTGCACATGCACACTCTCAGGCATGGTCAAGTTTCAGGTCAAGTCAAGGATATCTTTTATTTCTGGGTCATATAACCGTCTCAGGGTTAGGTATTTATGTGTAAATTCCTGACCTTAGCCATAATACAATTTCTTGATTTTGTATTTAACTTTTTATTGCAGCCGTGGGACTGTTTTGTGTAGAATTTGTCTCCAAAAGATTAACCACAATTAGCAAACTGGTGCGAGACGGAAAGATTTCCGAAAAGATTTGTTTAAACAATTAGGGGAAAGTTTTGTGGAAGAAAAACTAAACCAGTTCCTATGGGAACCTACCTCAATGTAATACATGCCAACTAGGAACAAGAAAGAATTTGAAGAATCATGTTGAAACTAGTTTGAGGGAATCCTTCTATCATGAATATTTTCTGAGGGAATTCTATGATACTTTTATTATTCTCAGAGGCGGACTGTCACCTTTTGAACGGTGTCAATTGTATAAGAATAATCTGATATCTTCGAACTATTAATCAAGGTTCTTTGACCCTTTCGAAAAGTAAGTCCAATAAAGTCCAGAGCTCCCTTTTCCTCTTCCCATTTGGTGGACATCTCCCTGAGTCATCCTTTAAATTGAATGTAATATAACCAACAATCACTTTTATAATTTTGCATCTTTTAATTGTTTTTAAATAGTAAATCTTTTAAATTAAACAATAATATATAATATTTATGATATATAACATTTTTTTTTGTAAATTGAAAATTTTCTCAGTACCCGCAAGCAAATTCTTCAAAAATCAATAATTACGCTTAAACCGACTAAAGCAAATGTTTAATGGTTTCTTTCTTTGTTTTAATAATCTTTCCGTCTTTTGGTTTGCACAGTATTTTCGGGTATGAACTCGACATAACATTATATTATATTTTTTAGTTTATTTCTCGGTAGTTTTAATAACAAAAAAAAAGCATTATTTAACTTGGCATAAACTTTTTTTTTTAATTTTCAACATTAATATATAATAATGTATTTTGACCCAAAAAACACTGTGCAATGATCAGATTGGTTTTTGTTTTTTACAATAAATACATAGGAATGTCTAATATAGACAAGGATATAATAAAAAGTCGGGGTCCAAAGCATATGTACTCGTATAAATGGGCGCCAATGAAGCATTTCTTCTTCCGATTTTTTGTTTGTTGGGTTCTCTAAATATATAGCTATGCGCCTAGATTCCTGTAACTGATCCAATTGTGGGGGAAAATTATAGGAAAAACTAAATACAAATTTTATCTGTTGCTTAAACATTTTCTACTTCAGTCTCGTGTACGCAAAATAGAAAATTATTTTTTCTGGGTTTCTGGTAACATCTTTTTTGCTTCCCTTGTTATGTATTTTTTTTCTCTGATTTTTTTCACACTTTTTCTACGTTTTGCCTTAATTCAGGGAGGGCAGTCAGGTTTTTGTGTGTTATTCCTTTTTTTTTTTTTGTAAAAAAAAATGTTATATAAGACGAAGAGTACTTATGGGGGCACAATAATAAGAGTAAGCGGTCTTGTAAATTGGTATCAAGTTTTTTCGGGCTTGTTTTCACTTGTAAATGGTAGTGTATTTTGTGTGTGTCGGTTGTCGTCATCAGACGCGGAAATGCTGGAGCGTCACTGTGGGAAGGGTACAGTTGCATCTTGATTATTATAGTTGTCTCGCTTGCTCGCTCGTTCGCCATTTCTTTGTGTGTTGTTTTTGTTTTTACTGATGCTTTTGATTTTCTCCTTTTTACAGTTATAATATGGCATTACGAATTGCAATTGTTGTTTTTTGTTTGGCTTTTTCTGACGTGTTTGTCTGCACTGTGTATTTGTCTCGCTCTCTCCCACTCTCTCGCTGTCCCTCTGTCCTGTCTCTCACACCTTGCAGCTCTGCTGCGTGGGCAGGACTGACGCCAGCACTGGGGTCTGCTGCTGAACCCCCTCATCCTCGTGCTCGTGCTCATGCTCATGCATCTCCTCCTCATCCTCACAGATGCTGTCATGGTGCTTTCTCTGCTGCCGCTTACGCATGTAATTGATGAGTGGCCGCTTCTTGTGCTCTTTGCAGAACGGGCAGTCCTTGCGCAGTTGTTTCTCAGATTTTGTTTGCTTGAATTTTTCTGCAAGTAAAAGAGTGGGTAAAACATGGGTTAATTAAGTATTAACAGGCGGCAGTTAATTGTCGAGAACTTTCTTGAGGACTGTCCTCACCTTACATAACCACACCTGCGGCAAGGCCATCCAACTGGACTTTCTCTCACGCACTCCCACACTCACTCTCTCTCCCTCTCTCTCTATGCTCACTCTTCTCGTTTTGGTTATTTTTCCCCCTTACCACTTTGTGGCCTACGTGCTGTCTCCCCTCGCGCCCTTTTGGGCTGCCAGCTGATTGCCGACGTGACGTAGATGGTGTAGTCAGCACTGCTCCAATCTCAAAATGCCAGATGACCCTGTGACACACACACAGACAGGGTGCCTCTGTGTCTTTGATTGCTCAATTGCGAGCGTGTCACAACTAAATGGTTCTCATTGATTGAAGCAAAGCCGTGCGGATATGCTATTTATAGCATATAAATATATATTATACCATATCTGATAAGCGACCTTGTGCCCGTGTTCTGACAGGAATTGTCGTATTCTGAGGTAATCTCTACCCTGGACTGGATTTTGGGGCAATTGGCATAATTAGTCATATGATGATTGTACAGACAACAAAAACAGCAGCGCACTTCTCTCTTCTCGCACACCTGAGATCCATTATTGCGCCTCAGTTTTTTTTCACACAAACACATTCCGAACATTTCTTTTGCTTATTTTTGTCTTTATGTCCAAAACAGAGCGACCACCTGCTTAACTTTTTTTGTGAGTCAGTAAGTCTCAAGAGAGGTACAGTCTCGTGTTGTCTATCTTTTTAATTAGCATTCTTTGTACCAGCAGAAGCGGATGCACGCTGACTGGACTACAATGACCTCCATACGAAGTGATTGGCCATACGCAGAGTTGAAACACCTTTTAAGAGTCAAATCTTTTGTTATGATATCCAACTACGTTTTTATTGTGGCATGCCGGAAATTTTTGTTTGGCCCTGTCTACGTGAGCGAAGTTTTCTAAAACAAATTGATTCCCAGCAATATATTTTTGCACGTAGATTTTCGCAGGCTGCAGGGAAGGAGTACTGATAAGCGGATGTTCTCAATGGACACCCTGTGTTTATGCGCAAAATTTTAAGGCGTGTTCCCCCACCATACACACACACACAGACTCATCGTGAACTCTCACGGACAACGCATACATGGACATAAAATCAGGCTGTCTATTTTTAAATTCTCACAAAAACAGCATACACAACACACGCAATAAAATGGGGGGCTGGTTTTCTTCGTTTTTGTTGTTGCTTTTAAACATGTTTTCAGCGCTCTCAGTGGCGCCGACGAAAAGCTCTTGTATGATAATTACCTTGGACGCGACTGTAGGAATCCTTGACGGCATAGGAGGATGCTGTGCTGGACGACTCCAGTGTGCCATACGGGAACTGCTCGTAATCGCGGTAATAGTCGCTGCGCATGGACCCGCCATACGACATGGTCGAATCGCTGACACAAAAGCCCCAAACATCCATAATGGAAAGGTGTCAAAAAGGGTTTCCTTGTGGGGGGTGGGTGGTAATTGGAATTTCTGTCTATCTATTTTTCGCAGTTGGCGCGCGTTGTGTGAGGTCGTTTCACTGTCTTTCTCTCACTCTCTCTCTGCCTTTTTCTCTTTTTGGAGGTTCTTTTGCGAGCAATGAACTCGGTTTGAATCACTTTGTTTTTGCAGTGTCTTTGTTAAATACGCGTATTTATGCACTTTTTTGTTTGCGTGTGTGTTGTCTGTGTCGACTACCCCGTCAAGGTATGAGCCAGTTTTTTTTACATTTGCATTGAACTGAAATGCAGCTTTCTTCGAAATTTCATCGGATTGATTCGATGTGTTTTCTTGTGGAAGTCTCGGCTGAAACTGAGAGCCGAATGCCAGAATTACTGCATTTTTGTAGCGGTTCGGGCTCGTGGCTTGATTTGCCGACGACTTCGTGTCTCGCTTTTGCGTGCGTAGCGTGTGCATACCCTCCAAGAGAGAGTTGTATCAATTTCTGAGCTGTTTGTAACAGTTTTACAATAAGGCCAAAAGGCAGAGTTCGTATCTCGCGATTGAACGGGTTTCTCTTCGCATAAGGTGTTTGGGTCAAGAGGATTTTAATGGCATCTCATAAAGATGTGATTTAATAAATAATATCCAGTTATATTCGGCCTAAAGGGTATAGAATCGTAATGTGCCAAACTTATTGCTCTTACTGGCCGTTGTTTGTCTCGTATGTGCCCGCATGTGGCTGTGTGTGTGCTGTTGTTGTGTTTTCGCGTCTCGTGCTTTGTTGAAGCTTCGCTGTTCTGCCATCCCGCTCTCGCCGCCTGCTTGCGTGTGTAGTCTCCCCTCCATATACATACCAGATGTGTGTAGTGCTCTCTCTCGCCATTAAGTACAGGCGCTCTCATGAGTTACCGTGGTGCACAACGTTTGGTTTTAGCTGAAAACCAATTTCCATATGATTCACGCTATTTTAGTTTAAAAAATCTTTAATAAATGCTAATTGTCTTAGGGCATGATAAAATATCGTTAATGTTGGAAGTTTTTCTTATTAGCAACGAATTGCTAATACCATAAGAGCTGACGAAAATTTGTAGTCATGAGATGGATCTCAAACGGCCGTTAAGCCAGTGTATTGAATACATCTCTTTTAGGTTTTGCTAATCACCGTCTAGACTGTATGCCTGCCATGCGCTTTAAAAAGCCTTATTTCCCGTAAGAAATTCAGTTGCTAAGCGGTACTTTTGATTATTTGTGCTGTGTTAGGCTGTGGACTTTCAGTTCATCGAATTGGGACGAAATAAATCATCCAAAAATCAATACAATCTCGTTTTTAATTATTTGTATTAATTAACATATAATTCTCTGGCTGTCGGCAGCCTTCAAAAACTAATCTGAAGCTTGCATTTTTCAGTCTGTGAACATTTGTTTGGTAAATTTGATTAAATTTTAGTGTTAATAAGTACCTACGTCACTTCGGCCGGTTTAAATTAATGTGTTTGTTGTTTTTCGGTATCATACGTACCACGTATTAGCAAGTTTCTGTGGTTTAAGCCTTTGGAACCCACGATATCTGGTCAGTAAGGGGATCGTGATACATTTCTAAAGGTGGGCGTATGCACGAAAGCTATATTTAGCCACCAAATTTGATTATATGGTACGATTTGGTACGTGGATGACTAACTGAGATTTCCAAATATTCATTGATTGAATATTTTTGGTGAACGGCGTGAGTTTCAGGGTTCAGCCTCCGTATATACAGCATATCGCCATTATGCCGTGGTGTAGAATAAACTGTGCGCATGCAAATAGAGTGGACCCACTGTTCGTTCCCAATTAGCTACTCCTACGCCCGCTGTTGCTGCTGCGCAGTTTTTGTAAACAAGCTTTTGTGAAAGGTATGCAATGTCGGAGGGTATGGCAATTCCGCTTGTCGGTGAACCCACACTCTCTCTAGCTATATCATTGTGTTAAGCTGGGAGGCACGTGCGTTTCCTTACCTGTTGTATCAAATACCTTTGCTCTCTCTCTCTATTTCTCTGCCTATGTCTCTCGGCGGTGCTGACCTGCTTAATCAAACAAGTGTCTTTTACACATCCCACACACTAACACTCACACAACCTAATATGCGTACTAAATACTAACCGTACTATGCAAACATACATTCATGTATGTACATACATAGCTGTGTGTGCTCATATATTTAGTTGGCACAATAACTAAACTCGGACTATCTCTTTCTGTTCATTGCACTTACTGATAACGGTTCAACGTTAATGATCATTAATCATTGGCTTGGGTTGCGTTGGGTTGTCTTTGCCATCGGTAGTTTAAGGTTTGTTAGAATGCCGCAAACTGTCCGAAGCCTTATCATTGACACTCGCATTATCTTTGCCTGATTATGCACATATATGTATATAAGCATGTACACATGTACATATGTATGTATGTATGTATGTATACATTAGCATGTGTTTGTTTGTATTCATAAGTGTGCACTCGAAGGTTTGTTTGTGTATATTTTTCATTACTTAAGATTTCCAAGCATCTACTCAAGTGACCAGAGAGCCATAATGTTTACATTATACACATGTAGTACCCTGTACCCCGTAGAGGGTAACTCAAGGGTATATTACCCCTGGTATGTCAGCACTGTATGGATGTAAAAATGTCGTAAAATCAACGAAAGACGAGCTCATGCATACTGGAAATAAAGTAAAAAGATTCTTAAGTGCCTAGAAAAGGGTATCAAAAGCCTGTGCTTCGATTCCTTTTTCCTTTAACCATTCCGTTGTCTTTGTTTTTGAGCCCTTTGGCTTTTTTTTTTGGATAGAGCAATAAATAAATCGGCAGGGGGGAATTTCTTTTCTTATCAAAATTAAACTCAAATCAGTTTGAAATTTACATCAAACAATAGATTTTTCCACATTGAAAATGCAAAGTACTAAAATTTCCATTACTTCTCGCTGCAGGAAAATCTTGGCGGCAATTCAAAGACCGTTATGCTGGCCACCATCTCACCCGCCAGCCTGCATGCAGACGAAACTCTGGCCACTCTGCGCTACGCCTGCAAGGCGCGCTCCATCGTTAACCGCGTGAAGGTTAACGAGTCCCCGCACGACAAGATTATCAGGGATCTTCGCGCCGAAGTGGATCGCCTGAAGTCGCTGAGGAACGAGTACGAACGACAGCGACGATTGTCGGGCAACAACAGCAATCCAGCGCCCCGAAAGATCATCATAGAGACCTCTGTGGATGAGTCTGAGGTGGAGGGGCTGCGCCAACAGTTGGCCGAGCGCGAGCGGGAGCTGAGTCGTGCCCAGAAATCGTGGATGGAGAAGTTGCGCGATGCAGAGGATCAACGCAAGTCCGAGTTACGTTTGCTCAGGCGCAAAGGACTGGCCCTGGAGCTGACGGCGGACCAGAAGCAGGCGTGTCTGGTCAATCTGACCGCAGATCCCATACTGAGTGGCACGCTGTTCTATCTGTTGCCCCCTGGTCTGGTGCGCATAGGACGCGGCCGTCTGCCGGGGTCGGCCAACTCCCAGCCAGACATTGTCCTGGACGGTCCTCTGGTGGCGCTGCAGCATTGCAGCATCGAGCATGAGCGCAGCGGCAAACTGTATGTCATTCCGGGCAGCGAGGACTTTGAGACCTATTTGAATGGAGAACTAGTGGCCGAGAGACGACAGCTGTTCCACGGCGATCGATTGGTGATCGGTGGCTCCCACTATTTCCGCATTTCCAATCCGTTTTGCTCACACAGAGCCAAGGCCGAGCAGCTGGTGGACTTTCAGCTGGCTCACCAGGAGATCCTGCAGAAGCAGGAGCAGCAGCTACGCTCCGAGCTGGAGGCCGAGAAGCTTGCTGCTCTGACTCGCATCGAGCAGGAGCGCGCCCAGCATGCCAGAGACTTCGAGGAGCGGCTGCAGTGCCTCGAACTGGAGCAGTTCAAGTATCAGTGCAACAGCGAGATGCTGGAGACGGAACGTCAGGTTTTGGCCCAAGCCCAAAAGGAGCAGCAGACGCCGCTCAAAGAGACGGGCGCTGTGTCCACGCCAGCCCAGAAGTCCACCCTGCTGGAGGACATACAACGCATCATGCTGAACCCCAGCGAGGAGAGCCTACACAAGACCCAACTTATGGTGAAAGAAGCCACCCAACGATGTCGCCAGCTGGGCGTGCAGCTGGAGTTTCGGCAAACCCAAGCTCCCGACGAATTCGGACTGCTGCGAACGGTGATACTGCTGTTGGACAAGCAGCGTGGTCTCAAGGCCGAGTGGCCCATTGCCCGACTGGGCGTCTGGCTGGATTTGCTTCGGGATGATCACACGCTGAATGCACGCACGATCTTTCAGAGCGTCGAGGTGGACTGGGAGCCCTTGGATGCCGATCTGAATGAGACTCTGAGCGATGCGCACAATTCTAGTCGAATTGCCTTGAACCTAAGTGCCATGCTGAAGCAGCCGCTAAAGAGGCTGCTGAACGTCTCCACGAGTAGCAACACACCACGTCAGACATCCACACCCTCTGGCAAGACCCCTGTCAGTCCCTCGCCACGCAGCAAATTGGTACAATATACCAAGCGTCTGTTAACCTACGACCCCGAGGAGACGACACCCGAGGGCAGCCAATTCCAAACGCTCGTGCAGCAGGAGCTGCAGTTGATGCAGGGATCGGCCTTGCGGCTGAAGCGTTACTGCGAGCACGCTCTGCACGAGCGCGAGAACCAGGAGGACAATGGAGTCCTACCTGTGAGCCTACAGGAGGCTCTGACACGACTGGACAGTGTGCTGCACGGCATGCGCAGCTCACTGGCACAGTGCGAGGCGGCAGCCGGTGCCAGCTCACCGACAAAGACACCGAAAGCCGTGCGCTTTCTTATCGATTGACTTGACTTGACGCTTAGTTCGCACCTTGAACTACATTTTAACGTTGCAATGTGCTGCTTGTGTTTTTGTTTTTATGTTTTTAAATATATTGGTTTTATGAAAAATAAAATAAAATAGCACCCAATAGAAAACACTGCGTTGTACGTAATAATAATAGCATCAAATGGCTTCCTCCTCCTGCTGCGGCTCCAGTTTGCTATTCAAATCCATCACCCAATTGCAAAATTGTCCGTCCTTCAGCTCTACAAAATCACCCAGAAATACATTGACACGCGGCTGCTGCTTCGGCTCAAAGGGGCCTGGCGTCTGTTCTGTTATCCAAGGATATAGCTTCTTGTCCACCCGCCTAGCTGTGCGCTTCAGGGAGAAGAATAAACGAAAGGCTATGTACCGGCCAGTGGGTGTGATGAGGCACTGGGACACATAGCCCTGCTGCGGCTGGCGAGAGAGCAAAGAGTCCTCGAGGAACGACTGCAACTTCTTGACGCTCGCCTTGTTGGGCCACGGAGTGGGCCAGGCAAAACTCGGCCAGAAGCGCAGCGGCAGGGGAATGGGACATCTGCGGTAGATGATTACCACCTGGCGTTGCATTTCCAGGCATCGATTCAGTGTGCAATCGAGCAGGGAGCCATCCACAGTGGAGTAGAGGCGATGGCCAAAGAACTGTATCAACTCCTTGTGCAGCTGCTGATGATGGTTAGGCGTCAGATCATAGAAGTGCTGCAGATCCAGCACTACCAACTCCTCCGGATGGCTGTCCAAGAATTGACGCAGCTCCATCAGGGGCTCAAAGATTTCCATTGCAAACAGGGCATGGCAGTAGTAGAGCTTCTCCTCTCTTTGTGCTATCCTCAAATCAAAGTAGCGCACACCCAGATGTAGTTGCTCCACGATGCTGGAGGCTTGTGTCCTGCTCCAGCGACGCACAAAGCAGGGAAAAAAGCGATACCAGCGTCGGATGGCTGGCTCGGCATCCGGCGCCAGTTGGGAGCTCCCATTAATGCCGTAGGTCATGGAATTGTGTGAACCTATACTAGAGATTCTCGTGATATTCATTAAGTGGCTGGGAATGATGATCTCATTCGTACCGTACCTGGAATGGCCAAATTAATGATTGACATGTCCCGCAACTCAGGCGGCAGATCGCGCATCCAATGCTCCTTGGACATGGTGCAGTGTGAAGTGTGTAATAATCGTTAAAAGACTCTTAATTATAGTAAAACCTTTTCGGGGGCGTTTGTGCAGATATCTTTTTGTGCGTAAACAAAACCAGAGCGCTGCCAGATCGATGCTCTTTAGAGTTTTGCATGTATCGATAGTTTACCTTTTCGATAATTTACTTGCTGCCTCACTTGAATTTTTGTAAATTGTTATTAATTTTTATATTTATTATGCAACTTCTTTATCGTAAACTAGGTTTTAGATTGTTAAAAGAATTTGTTTGTCTTTAGGCCGTTTCAATGTTTTCCTTATTTTCGCTCTCCAGCTCCTCCCCTAGAAGATGTTGCTGCGAACGCTGTGCCAGCAGCTGATCAGATTCATTGAAAACTCGCACATTTCGCGTGCAATCAATGAAATTGCAATTACCCAGCCAATTCCTGTCGTTGTAGCTATAAAAAACACACATTTAACAACAGTTTAGAGAGGATTCAACTCCATTCTTACCGCTTAAGTGCGCTGTATTGCTTCAGAATCATCACTTTATCCTCTTTGCCGGGCAACGTCAGATTATCGGCCATTATTCCTATTTTGCAGCTGTCGAAGCTGCACTTGCTACCTTGTAGATTCAGCGCCACTGTCGTATCTAGCAGCTCCACTCCTGTATTGCAGTTTTTCACTTGGACATTGCCCAACTCGGCACTGGACTGCGGACGCATCGAAATGCCCACGGCAAAGTCCTCAATGATGCAGTCGTGCATCTCTACGCTGGCATTTGGCATGCACACAATGCCTTCTTGGGTGCTGGAGTTGCCGTCACCGATCAGACGACAGCCGCGCATGGTCAGCGTTCCATTGCGCAGCAAGATGCCGCGGCGGACTTGACGACAGTCGAGTACGAGGTGCGCGAGCGTGTAGTCCCCATCGATGACCAGCAGCGTGCTGCCCTCGTCGCTGGAGCAGACTACGGGCAACGTGGGGAGCTGTGGCTGCGCCACCAGTATGGCCTCGGACTTAACCAGCCCCTGGAGGCTGCCCTGGTTGTTGAGGTTCTCGAGGAATTTGATTGTGTGCTCGCCGGGGGACAGCAGAATGTCATCGTCGCTCCGGCAGATGCTCAGCACATCCTGCAAGGTGTTGGCCAGCTGAACCTGCGTGTCCGGCTTCACCTGCTTCTGGGCCAGCGATAGCAAGACCATCTGCTCCTGCAATGTGTTCGGCACAGTGACCACATGGCAAATGGGGGCGCGCTCAGTCAACGGCAGCTCCGATGGTCTCCCAGCTCTGCGTTGCAGCAGATGACGCTGCGGGGAGTTGGACTGCAGCTCACTGTAGGCGCGCCTCATTTCGGGATTCTCCAGAATCTCAAATTCACTGCGTATAATGGCCATGCGCAGGTGCAGGCACATCAGATCCGTCACGGGCAGTGTGGAGACATTCAAGCTCGCGTTGCCACTGCCCGTCTTTGCCTGTTTCCTGGCCGGTTCGGCAGCATTGTCATTCAGCTCGACAGCCTCGTCATCGCTCTCCGCCTCGGTATCGCTCAGATCTAGTTCGAGGTACTCCAGACGCTGCTGAATATACATGGCCTCCATGAGGAGCGTGCGCATGTGCAGCGCCAATGGGCGCGATAGCTTGTTCTTGCTCAGATCACAGGCTAGTTGAATGCGCGCCTGCAAGTGCATCTGCACCCAATCGCGATCGTCGTCATAGTCCTTGTCCCACGGCATCCAGACGTGCGAGTAAAAGAAACGCAGCCGATCGATGCACTCCGCTGTTGTGTCCACATTCAGGGCATCGTTCTCCTGCTTGATGGTGGGCCACAGCTCCACCAGGGACACCTCATTGCTCTCCGGCAGATGGACATCGCTATCCTGCACGGCGGTGACCACAAACACAGCCTTCAGCTCGTCGAATATCACCTGATCCACATAGCCATAGACTATGGTGGGATAACGTAATTTGAGATCCTCACAGATGACGCGAGGTATTTTCCAGATCGCCTGCCAACCTGTGTGTGTGCGTGTAAGCCCTTGATTGCCCTTGTCTTTGTGTTGGTGGCTTACCTGCTGGCTCAATCTTCAGCTCGACAAAGGATTTCCACTCGTTGCGCACTTGGCTGGCGGGCATGACGGCCCCATCCCAGGACAGCACGGCTTCAGCCTCCTTGAGACGCTCCAAATATGATTTTTCAAATGTGTATACGTCCATGCTTGATTTTAATTTTATTTTTGTATTGGCACAAGCCGGTGCGGCGTCGAAAAATTTGAAATTAGTGTTGTGGCATGCTTCGATAGCGACTACTCTGTTCACGCAACGCTGCAGTACAGTGGGATGTATCGATACATCGATATAACCCAATCACTAAGCGCACTTTTCTTTACACATCCCTAGCCGCTCACCACATTTGTGGCCGAATTGTTAACTTTTTTGTTTTTTGTTACCCTTCTGCTGATAATTTTCGCATCCAATATGTTTCCTCAACGAAGTTCGGAGGTATATCGGAAGCCGGATAGCCACGACCCGCCGCCAAACATAGAGCTGGCCGGCAACCTCGAATATCCCAATCTCAACGCTGCTGATCTGAGTGCTCGCATGGAGAATCTTTCGCTGCGGCTGCACGGCTGCTGGGACAGCATCAGCCTCAACGAGCAGAATCACTTTGCGCTCGCCACAAATCGCCGCGAAGGTGGCGAGTGGTGGGGTGTCTTTCTTGGCTACTCGGAGGAAAATGTGAAGCACATGACGGTGGAGAATGCCGACTACAAGCTGCAGTCCACCCACACGGTGAACATTGTGCGCTATGCGAGCAACAACGTGCTGCTGGCGGCACTGGGCAACACCAAACTGCAGGCATGGTCCACCTACTCAAAGGTGCGGAATCCAAAGTCCCCTTATTGCCTTTTTATGATGGGCGAATCAGCGGCACATCCCTCACCCATCAGCCATTTGAGTGTGTTCAAATCGGTGCCAAATACGGCTGTCAGCGCATCGCCAGATGGTACAATAAATGTGAGTAAAACTGCGACTGAAGGATCTTTTTGACTTAAGTTCTTTCTCATAGATGTGGAACTTCTCTGGCGCAGATTTGGTGAGCTCTTATCGCACCAACTATGCCCACACGGATAGACTCACGGGCATGGCCACACCCGTGAGCACTGCCAATCAGTTTGTGACCTGTGATCGTGGTGGATGTGCCCGCATCTGGGATGCACGTGCCGCAGCGCCCTCATCCCTGACGCTTTACAACGACGCCAGACATATGATTAGCTTCACCTGTGCCGCCTGGGCAGAGACCACACAGCCACAGGCCGACAATTGCATTTATTTTGGTGATTTCGATGGAAATGTTCACACTATAGACACGCGAGTGCCCAAGCAGTTCCAAGAGACAATCCAGTACTTTGAGGACAGCATAATCTCGCAGCTATCGGTCAATGGGTAAGGCTACAGATTTATATTGAGAGATTTATATTTTACTTTCAATTCCACTTGCAGCTCCCATTTGGCTGTTATGAGCAATGAGCCCGCTGGCGTAAAGATAGACAAAATAGAGAATGGGAAGCATGAGATTATCTACACAAATATGGACACGCATGACCGTCAGACGGACGCCGTTTGGACCAATGAACGGACACTGCTTACCATTGGACATGGCCGCAAAATGGCTAGGCATTCGATACCCTAAGTTCCTGTTGCTTGACAATTTAAATACAAAGAATGTACTTCAAAGGACTTGTATTATATTAATGCAAATTCTGGAACAAATTTTCCATAGAATAATTTGTTGTTGAAAGTGGCAAATGTTTAAATAGACAAAATACCTGTGGATTATTGCCTCGAAAAGTTGCTTACAATGTCATTAATGAGCGTCAGCGTTGCCCAAACAATGTGAAAACATATTTTATATCGCCATCGATATCGACTGTCATCGATACCTATTGTGTGTCATCGATGACTATTTGGCTAACGTCGAGGAACTACTTTTAATGGTATTTACATTCAATTTTCATGCTCTTATAATCCACAAACATTTCTTTGTAATTTCTGTCATGACTCTTTGATATTATACTCAAATCTGTGGCTAATGTCATTTAAATCACAACAATTTCTCAATAATTTCTTTGTATAAATTCATAATCTTTATTTCAGTGTTTATCTGTGAATGATCAACAAATAGTCAAAATGTCATAAGTAATAATTGTGGGGGGTTTTCCTTCATCTTATTTACAACTAAATGCCCGACTGTGGCCCATCGAACTTAAAACAAAAAACACGTAAAAACTAAACAACCTCAGAAAACGAAAAAAATACTTGATTTGGGAAACACAAAAATTTCATGGCGGAACAACAGAGCGGCGGATCGTCTGGCGTGCAGGGAAAAATGTTTTTGCTTAATTTTAACCAGAAAATTAAAACATTTTCCTTTTGTCTTTGGTCCACACACTATCGCCGCGTACGCTTAGTGGGTGGCTCTAGGAAATTGTTCTCCTCCTCCTCGATCTCCATGCGATCGAGTTTCATTAGCCGTTTGGCCTTTTGCAGCATTTGCGTATCGCGCATCCAATTAGCTTGCAGCACATCGTCGATTGAGGGTCGCTTCTGGGGATCCGCAATGAGCATTTGATTGATCAGCAGCTTGGCACGCTGCGATATGCCCTTCCAGGCAGGATGTCGGTAGGCAAATTTTGCCTTTTTAATTTGTTCAGCCACGGGAGAGCCGTAGTCATCGGAGAAGGGCAGTGTGCCGCTCAAGCTAGGGGAAAATAGAGCCTTTAGAAGTGCACTTTAAATGTGTAGCAAAAAGATGAGAGCAACCCACCAGGTGAACAGCACAACACCCAAGCTCCAAATGTCCACCTTCCGGGTGTAGGCCTCTCGTCCGCCTGTGATTAATACTTCGGGCGCCACATACAGCGGTGTGCCACAGAGTGTGCGCATCACAGAGTCCTTTTGTACAAACTTGCTTAGCCCAAAGTCCGAGACTTTGAGAAGTGTGTCCTCATCGCCCGACTCTAGCAGCACGTTATCTGGCTTTAGATCGCGATGTGTGATGCCACGATCGTGTAAATATTTAACCGCATGGCACATTTGATAGAAATACAACTTGGAGGTCTCCTCCGACAGCAGTTTCTTGCTGATGATGCGATTTAGCAAGTCGCCGCCGCGCATAAACTCCAGCACCATGTAAACCGAGTCCGGTTTATCCACAATATCATGCATACGCACCACACACGGGTGCGCCAGGTTCTTCATTATCTTTGCCTCATTGAGCACACGGTCGGGATCGCTCAGATTCGTGGTGGGATGTGCACTGCCCGCCAGCATATTTTTCTTCACAATTTTCATGGCAAATTGCTCGCAGGTGCGCGTCTCATAGACCAAACGCACCAGGCCGTAGGCACCGGAGCCCAGCTTACGATTTACATAATAGGTTTTGGTAATCTCCTCGGGCAGGCCGATGGCCTCATTCGGGCTGAGATCCTTGAACACAAAGGCTGCAAAGAGCAAACAATTATTTTTCTCTTTAATCAGCAGCTGCCTCCCTCTCTTACCTTTGTATGTGGGATGTGCCAGGGAGATGACATCGTCATTTTTCAGTATGCGCATTTTATTGGTGCCAATTTTTTCATTATTCACAAAAGTGCCATTGCGTGAGAGATCCTTGGGAGAGCAAAAGATGACGAAAATAAGGGATGTAAAGGAACCCTAAATATTTGAACATCTACCTGTATATAGACCGGATTTGTCAGCTCACAATTGGCGCGTTTTATGATAAAATGAACCTTGGAAATGCGCGTCAGTATCTTTTCAGGCAAATCGTTGAGTGTCAATATCAAATCATTCGCCTCTCCACGTCCAGCAGTAAATTCGTCATTATTCAGATCTAAAGGGGGCAAATCAATTTAAAAATTATTTCAAATATTTGGCTGGAACTGCTAAAGATCACATAAAACATGGACGTTTTGGGTTACCAACAGAAAAGGACGAATGCGTATACATTATGCTGTAGTTGGTGGTCGTACCCAGCGATTTGATTTTGATATTCTTTCCATACAATCGGCCCCACACAATCCTCTCCATGGGTTGGCTCTCCACTTGTGTAAAAATGTTGGACGCCTGGCTCTGGGTGGCTTGGGTGCCGCCGTTTTGAGTGCCGTCGCGTGCCATATTACAACTCCAATTCTCCTTTTGGTCACCAGTTTCTTGGAATGCAAAACTGCGCAAAATGGGAAATGTTCTGTTATTCTCCAGCAATGCTCTCACACACACACGCGAGAACGCAGCAGATATGTTTGATTAAAAAAAACGGGAAGCTTATCAGATATTGGCACAGCTTTGATTGGAAAGGCACTGTTTTAAGCGGATTTTTAACATTGAATTGGGTTTTAATTCTGAGCTTTTTTATACAAAAACAACGGAAAGTATCAACAATAACGACATTGATAGCGCGATCTGCCAATTTGCGTGGCTGTGTGTGTGTGTGTGTTTTGCCGCCATTCAGGGCTGCAGAGATCAGTAAGACAGATATCGATAGCTTGAACAACTATTGATACTATCGATGGCACTTTCCGATGTCAATTCAAATTATAATTATTTAATTAAAATAGAAAGCGAAAAACATAAATTACATTCCGTATTAAAACGGTATTGTTGCCTATTTGAATAATAACTTGCATTTATTTTTTAACATTTCAGCCCTGCGCGTGTTAATGTGGTGTGCCAGCCCTCAAATGTTAAGTTCAACTCTCCATCCCTAGATTGCGGCGTCGTTTGAAAGAAACTGTAAACTATTACCAATACAAACGCAGTTGCTCCAAAGCGAAATCTGCCAAAATAAGCAACAAAAGTCAAGTGAAAAACAGATTGTTATAGCAAAAAAACCATAATATTCCCTGTGCACGGCATTTGGTATTTGGGTTAAATTTATAGACAACCATGACGTTGCCGCGCTCGGAGACGCCACTGCGTCGATCTGCGGTGGGCAGCTACCGTGAGAGCATGGCCCGGGACACAACGGTGATCAATGACGATGAGGCTGAGCGGCGGGAGGCACGCCGGCGGACGCTGCTCGTGCAGCAGGACACCCGCAAGAGTTCTGGGCTGGAGTCGATTGAGGAGAACGAAGCGATACGCTCCTGCGTGGATCTCTACAACTGCAATAAGCTGAGCAAGGACAATGCCTGGCACATGTCGCTGATTGATTCCCTGGCTAATCTCATGGATCGTCATCACAAAAAACTAAGCAACTTCAAGGTGCGGTTTTAGACTCTTTTTCGGCTCGTCAGCTTACCGCTAACCTACTTTTCTGCCTTTACAGATGGCTGGCACATCGCTGGAGGCCTCCTCCAAGGTCTACGGTCTGCGTGTGGACTCCATTTACATCGATGCCATGCGCATATCGGCGGGTCTGAGTGCCCGCACCTTGACGGACAAACAGATCAACGATGCAGATGCAGATGATGGAGGGGGCGCACATGATGGCGCTCCAGCTGATGGCGAAGGTGACGATGCTGCTGCTGGCAGTAGTGGACAGCAGCAGGCGGCGGCACCGAAGCCCAAGCGACAGAAAAAGAATGTGTCCACGCTGACAAAGAACAAGGAGACGTTGAATGCCCGCTTGGACATGATGCCCATGCAGGATGCGGTTTTTGGGAAGCTCAATTCGACGGTGGGCTCCATCAATGCCTCCAATCGACTGATGCACAACATACTGCCCAGCGTAGACTCGGAGCTGAGGCTGCGCACCACCCACAAAGTGTGGGACGCGACGGAAGAGACGAACGAGCTCGTGGATAGCGAGACGTTGAGTGCCAGAGGGCAGGAGTGGCCTGACACGGCACTGTGCAGTGCGGAATGGCTGCATAAGTTGGCCAATCATGTGGATAATCTAATTCTGCGGCCACTTCATACGGGCTATGTAATCACCAGTGCACCGAATCCCAAGCCACAGGCGGACAAACCAGAGACATCCATGTCCGACCCGGCAGCTCCCGAAAACGATGACGACGATGAGGGATTGGAGGCTGCGGATGATTACTGTGTGAATGCCGGCGAGATATCGGTGGCCTTTGACATGAACGCTGAGTGTGAACCCATGCCGGATATGGAGACTGGGCAACACATCGTACTAGAGATACCATCGAATGATTTGGAGGAGCTCACCGTCGAGGAGCAGGCGGTCGTCCAAAACTGTCGAAGGTTGAGGAAAACCGCTGAATTCATAGACGATCTGCGACCCGTGGATGGTGTCTCGCGGCTGGACTACTCCTACCGACCCATGGAGCAGATCTCACAGTTTTGGGCGGGTCCGGCGCATTGGAAATTCAAGCGCACGCGTCCACGCTCCACTCTTGCGCAGACGAATGGCCAAACGGATGCTGTGCCGACAGCCAAGCCAAGAAAAACGGCTGCCGTGGCCAAGCGACGCTGCAAGGAGGTAACCTATGGCAAGTTCAAGGAGGAGCACTTCCAGCCGATCGACGCTAAACTCAAGCAGCGCAAGGTCAACTATCAAAAGAAATGGGACGCCCGCAAGCTGATGCTGCCAACAAAATTCAACTTTGAGGATGATTATTTTTTCAAATACGATTCGGCGCCAAGCATAAAGGTTAGCCAGCGCTTCGGTGTGGCCGATGTGGACGAGGGCCTAGGCAATGACATGGACACGGATGGGGGCTCGCATCATGGCGATGCCGACATTGAGCTCTTTGACAACGAACACTTTACCAGCGATGATCCGGCGGCCATCAATCGCATGTCGGG